TCCTACACAAAGCTGCAAATGGCACAGGACTCAGTATGACAAATAACTGTTTTAGTCAACAAAGTATGGTGAATGACTCGATGCTTTTTAAAGGGTTTCGTTAAATATGGTCTCAGATGAGCCACTCGCATGACACTGGGTTACCTGGACAACATCTTAGCAAATTCTTAATATGAATTCCTAAAAAATTATATGTATTTTGAATTTATACAGTTTAACACAAAATAAATCACAAAGTGTATCCACTAAATGGTTTACTGTTGTGTGTCATTAGAGTTTAATGCATGGAAGTAAATGGGAACAACTATTTACATGAAGTTAATAATTAATGGTGGGATCAGAACTGTAAACTTTGCCACATAAATGACTGTAATGGTAATTGTCAAACGTAGGAATCGCATACTGAGCTCCTATTATATATCTTGGGAGGCAAATAATTTAAATTTTGGCTGGAATCTAGTTCTTGTACCACACACAACATATCATTATTTATTATTTTAAAACACAGTTATAGTGACATACTGTGGTCTATTTCAAAACAATCTTCAGGCTCCTCTAAAACAAAATGATATGCGATCTGTTGTTACTACATTAAAATCTAGACAGATTTGAATTCATAACTCTCTCTGCGTATATAAAATACTTTTTAAAATAATAGGTTACACTGAGATAAACCAGCTCAAATACTGCCAGAAATAAATGGCTTCAGTCAATAAAGTGACTAGCCATGGACTAGAAAAGCAGTTTGATTAGTCAAACAGGCAAGGATCTTTCTCATTATCATGTCCAAGATTCTAGGACCCATAGAGTCTCCTATGTAGTGCATACTGCATGCTCTTACTCTGGAGATAAAGCACCTGGAGCATGAAGATGACCATCCACCTACATCCAGTATCAACACTAAGAATGCATGGAGCTTCACCTCTACTCCTCCATACATATGCATGACATGATGCTTAAGAACAGGAACTTGAGAGTTTTTTGACGTAAATACGTCTATACGGAAGGGACATTCGGCAAAAACAACGTTATGAAGATGTGTAGGATCCATACCAACAATGTGTAAATATGGACCGACAATGGTCAGCTTTTATATGAACTCCTGCGTGCATAGCAATGCTAGAAAAAGGATTCGAATTTCTAACACACACCTGCAACAATATTGGCTAATCATGCCGTAAGGCTCTCTTTTCATACATACGTACATACATCTTTATTACATTCCATGGATCCATAAGTTAGTCAGATGACAATAGGATGTAGAATAAGTCATAATAATACAATACATGTTATACAAATACAAGTCATACTATTATATAAATGTCACAAAAATACAAACAAAGGGTTCACATAAAGTAGAGATAAGTTACAAATAAATCCACCCATTATATACAATAGATTAATTATGACTTACTTGTAAACATTTATTATGCAAGCTGTATAATTGCCTGAATTAAGCGTATTGCAATCCACTCCTTTACCTAAGAAACTAGTTGTTATGTCATCTGTTTATTCGGCATTGTTGTGTTTCATTACTGCCGTCAACAATCCGCTTTCGTTATCGCGGAAAGATCTGAGCTGTGAATCGCTTGTAGAGTAGATAAAACTGTGCTGTTAAAAACGTTTTAGAATATCACAAGTACTTATCTTATATACGAATTATTAAAAAATCTGTGAAACTGCCATCCACTCTCTCCATCTTAGTTTTGATTAAATTGGTCATTTCGGGTTGACATCGTGGTCTCTTACAATTGAACAAAGTTTGAGGTAAGGGATTCCTATTAATTATTATTGTTCATCACGTTAAGGGCCCGCCTCTCGAAAACCGTAAGAGATGGATCTGGACATATTGCGTACGAAATACGTATTACCTTTTGAGCTTTCCATATCTGTTTTCAGATTTTACATATCACAAATGATTTAGGTTCTACAAACATTTATTTATACAAACCAATGCGCATCGCACTTCACGCTACTGCTGCGTTTGTGTTTTGCGTCATATTATGTAGAGATAACAAGATGGATGACCTTGAAGATAAAAGAGTCCGTAATGCACAATATATGAGACAGTACAGAAAACTTAAAAAAAATATAAGTATTAAATAATGAACCTGAAGTTCCCAAAAACTAATGCTGAACGTATGAGCGATAGTTAAATAAGCAATATCTTAATCAAACTATCTACTCAATTGTAAAGCATGTGTAAAGCGAATATTTAGAATAGAGCTAATAAATAAACTTCCTTTCATTGTATTTATTGCCTAAATATAATTTAAATACAAAGACGTATTTACGTCAGATTCTCCGGAACCGTGGTTCCACTGTCAGTTTTTGTCTTATCTTCATAGTATTAACCAACCAAAAATAACAGCAACAAGATACAACCAAAATAAATTAAGATATTTACAGCAATATTAATGTCACATTAATCAAACATTTTAAAAACAAAGACTTAATTTTTTGAGCTTGATGCAAAATACATTTGTTGTTTGATGTGTGCTGAAAAGATGAACCACTAACCACAAATTATTTTGATAAAGGATTAGAATATTAGTTACTTTCCACTAATACCCACAGTATACATAATAAAGGAAATATTATTTTAACCAGTTATTAAACATGCATGGGATTAATGAGCATATGCAGATTTGTACCTGATCCTAGTTTTGATATAGTTTAAATTGAAAATGAAGGGTCCAGGAATTGATAAAATTACAGAAAACTGCTTGGAGCAGGAGTAAATATTGTATTATTAAATACACAAACTTAGATTCTACCTTCAGTAAAGAATAATGACCATGGCAATGGAAGAAATGTATTGTTGTAAATATACAATGCACTGGCATATTGTATCCTGTATAAAAAACATAAAATAAGCAAACAAACACTAGTGTCTCTTTATAGTGTTAATAGTTTGTTTATTTTATGTTCTAATACACTACACGGTATGCAAAGTTTGAAGATTACTGTATAAAAAAATACCAACCTTATCGACAGCGATATTCAACTCGTACTTACAGCACTTCTCTGAAAAATACTACTGATTGAACTATGATCTTCACTCCTATATGGACTTCATATTTCAAGAGTTTGGCCTCGTCAATTTTAAACGGGCAAGGCCAGTTTACATCTTGTAATTTTCCACGCTTGAGTAATCAAGGACTAAGACTTTTTTTTCCGTTTTCATTGCAATTATAACGTAGCATAACTATATCGATTATAAATTCGGATTTTATCAATCAATCTTATCCAACATAAGTTTAAATTAACAAACTTTGGTCTTAATTATCTTTACATTGCCCACAGGACAATTCCTCTGTCACGTGTCACTTGTATTTGAGAAATTTTCTGGTGTTTGAAACACCCAATAGCAAGGTGTTGGAAGGAATTCATTTTGCATTTACCAATTTTACGTTTTTGCTTTTGGCAAACCCCTTGCATACGTCACCAATGTACTAGTAGTACCAAAGCACCAACTAAATAATAGCAATAGCGACATGATGACCAACATAAATTAATCAAAAAAAGACATACATCTCCATTGTAAACTGGCATTTCCAGAGCTATAAAGGACGCTGTGAGTGAATTTGAATGTTCCTCTTTTACCTTTTGACCTGTAATTAGTTTTGAGTTGTGGAATGTGCTGTTGGAATTACGTAAGGTGATGGCATTATAATTTATAAACCAGTTTCCAGACATTTGAGGTTATGGATATTTAGGTTATCAAAGACTGTTTAATAATAAATTTTTGACACTTGAATTGTATATACTTCAGGTGAAAGGCACTGTGATAATTTATGAAATTACATTGCTGTTTGAATTTATGTACAAGGAATGTACACATTTCAAAGCATGCCTTCACAGTTTATAATGTGGTAACAATAAATTGTTACTTTAGCATAGATGCTAATAAATTAAAGCTTCTGTAAAGATTATTTTCTTTAAAACAGCAAGTTATGGTTAGTCTCAACACAAGCAATACAATGACACATGATGATGCACTGCGTGTCAAACCTGGTCATCGAGTGGAAAGCTGTGGCTATTATGGTACTATATGTTACATTGGAGAAGTACCACCTACAAAAGGAATTTGGTTGGGTGTAGACTGGGATGATCCTACACGTGGGAAGCACAATGGAACACATGAAGCAAAGAAATATTTCACTACGAGGTATACATTTTATAAAAAACCTGGGGGACCTGCATTGCAAATAATGATATATCTGATAAGGTTACAGTTTCCTTAAGAACACATATGTTTCCAAATATTTTGCATCAAGTAGACTGTACATTTGAGTATGTTAATTGGCTTTTCAGGAATCAAATTAAACCATATATATCATGATACTGAATACTGGTGATTATCACCAATGCTACATTTCCATAATATTTTTATTAATAAAATTGATCAATATGTTCATTTTCAGCACCGTCTTTGAGTTTAACTGTAACATTAACTAAATACAAATTAATGTTTAGCAGTTCTCTGGTGTCAGTTACTGGGCTTTGAGCAGATTAAAGAGGGCTGTCCTTACAACCTTCAGTGGCTGTCATTTTATTGTACTGGCACAATGAATACTGAATGCTACTGTATTCTTTCATTCATTTCTCATATTTATACCTGTTATGTAACCTTGATACAGCACCATTAAATAACCTAAATATAACCCTTGTTATTATGATATTACACCTGTGTCAGTACTCAGTAAATATTAACTTTTTGAAAGTTCTGTAGATTTAAGAAAAAGTGCCACAAGTAACATCACTGTTATTTACACTAAACAATATATTTGAAGTGTTTTAATTTGTATGAGTTCCAGATACAAGCACCTTAAAAGTGTTTCTTGTTGGGGATTTTTAGGAATTTATCTTTTTGTTCAAGTGTGGTTTGGTTTGTCAGATACTCCTAGTGTAACATGTTTAAACAGTCTAAAATATTAAAACTAGTAGTCCCATTATAATTCTAGGCATTCGACATCAGGATCATTTGTTCGATTGGAGAAGGTGAATTTAGGCAGGTCTTTCCGAGCTGCTATTAGGAATCGTTACGGAGAAGTGAAGAATGATGACACTGCAGGAATCGACAAGGAAAATTTGGCACATCTGCAGCGTGGGATAAAGGCACGTTTCATAGAAGTTGTTGGGTTCGACAAAGTTAACAAGCAACAGAGGTCAGTATTTCACCAATAAAATGATCTGTTACTTAGTTGACAAATTTGGTCATAGTCAGACTTATAAAGTATTGAATGTTTAAAATTTCAAAGTATTTTTTTCTGTTTGAAATGTAATAACAACTCAGTAACTTTTAAGTTTTTACTAATCCATTAGTATGGAGTGCTGTATAATGCACATTATACCACCACCATCAACCGTTCAGGAAAAATGTACTTTGTGTGTACATGACAACTCCTGTTTGTACCTCCGCTGTGTGAACAGTCTTTGAACTGCATTAATTCAACTTGCATAGGCTTCCAGATCAAGGTCCAGGCTTTTGTTTGTTCTAGTATTGATTTATACAGTTTTCAGTGAGTAAACATCATGGAAATTTCTTGGTTTTAAGTGATATATGGATTAGGAAAATGAACACACCCAGGCATCTGAATTTTCCTTTCTACAAACTGAAAAACATGAGAAAATTCAATAGCATTTATTGTCTATGAAAGAAAGAGAAAGTTTTGATTATTTTTAAGCCAATGTAATGTTTAGTGGGAACTACTCCTGTAGCAGAGTACAGCCTGGGTTATAAATCTCCCCCGTTCCCCCCACAGCCTTGCGTGCGCACACACACACACAAAGTGTTTAATGTCTTTATTTACAGCCAGTTTGAAGAACTTCGGGTGATCTGTTTACGAGGGCAAAATGTCAATGGACCAGGTGAAGAGGGAGAACTTCTACAAGTTTGCCCAAATATTCAGGAATTAGATTTATCACAGAATCTTCTTCATAGTTGGCAGTGTCTTGCGAGAATTGCTAATCAGTTGAGGCATCTTAGAGTCCTTAATGTCAGGTAATTAATGTCAGGTAATTAATTTAAGGTTTTGTATGACATTTATACCGCCACGGTGATCTAGTGGTCAGAACACTAGCCTTGTAAGCCTGGGGTCCCGGGTTCAATTCCCGGTGGTGCTCAAATTTATAACTTGTGTTGGGCAAGGCCGTGGTCTAGGCATCACGGAGTTTTCCTCCGGGGGCTTCCCCGGTTTCTCTGTGGCATCCCAACAATTACTCCACTCACACACAGAAGAAGGCAATGGCAAACCACTTCTGATCATCTCTGCCAAGAATGTATATATGTATGAGCAGGTCCCTGACAACCTGAAGAGGTTGGAAGGATCCTGTTCATAATATATGGACCTGTCGTCAGACAGAACACTACAAAAAAACAAAAAACAAATGACATTTATGTATAGTCTTGATCAGAGGATTAAGTGGTCAGGGCAGTTTGACGTATGTCATATGCCCAATTTGAATGTCTGTGTACTGTAAGAGTGATTAATCATATCTGGTAGTAGGATTTTATTGTATCAGATATAATAAATCAAATAAAACTGTGAAGGGTAAAATTCAATTGTAATCCAGATTGTGCAGTTTGAACTATCACTACATAAAAAATTATGACAAAACATAATTGGGCTTTCAGTTAGTGATTTTTATTTGTCCGTGATAGTTTACACACAGTAAGTTCACTCGTGCTGGATTTATTCGACACTAGTACCGATGTGATTACAAACACAGTTACAATCAGTTATCCTTGTTCTGTGTCAGGAACACTGAAACTAGAGATGTTTGTCCATCTTTTAGTTTTCCTTTTGGTCCCTTCTGTCTGTCTCAGGACCACATTCAACCACTTCACAGCTGTCAACTGCTTGCACTGGCTTAGAACCACCCATTCAGCCCTTAGCACTTAATATTTGCAGTCAACACTGATTTCACAAAACTTCGTCATGTATTGTTTCACGCACTGTCACATGTCAGTATAAAACTACTTGCTCTGTGTTGTGATATCTTCTTTCATTCAACTGGCAGCTGTTCCAGTATTTCTAGGTTGAGGTACTGGTGGCAGTATAGATTTCATTCATCCACTAATAATGTGACCTCAAACTCTGTGAAGGTGGCTGTGAAATATCAGGAGTATTTGTCTTTGTTATCAGGTGCTGCATTATGAGCAAACCCAATACTGAGTACCTTTACCTATCCTTGCACCTGTTTAATACTATTTCTGCTCTCTACATACCATCATCTGCAAGGTACTCTGATCATTTCTCTTTTAAGTCAGAAGAAACTTAAGTTCCAAACAGATGGCTCCTCAATAAAATCTTCTCAGGTGCAAGGTTATAAATTGCAAGTTTAATAGTAGGTCATTGGTCACTGTTGAGTAACAGTGCATTCCACCAATGTCCTTAGGTTATTTTTGCACTGATATGATCCTACATCACTGTTGTGGAACTGTGTTGCTACAATGACCCCAGTTCCAACTGTTGTGCAAGTCTTTCAGTCACTGTTGCACTGATGTATGCACAACAGTGACCCTGATCATGCAGGTTCTTTCTCCTAGGAAGAATGCAACCTTCAGACAGACAGACCCATAAGGTGTTCATTACTCACAACAGAGTGTGAAGAATGTATATTTCACAAATGTGGTCTAATATTCTGAAAGGACACCTAATTTATTTTAGAATAGGTTGATGTATATGCTGCAAGGAGAAAAAACTGAGGTTCACTCATGTTCTTCTTCTTCTTCTATGGCTCTCCGGTCCGTATTCGGTCCATGGCCTCCTCAATTCTCCTCTTCCATTCGGTCCTCTGTTAGGTCGGTCTGTCCAAGTCATGTTCTTGCCATGGCTATAATCCACATGTTCCAGTATGTGCTGTAAAATGTGTTGCAGTGAAAACCAGTTGCAGATTCCTCCTCAACCAGTGGAGTACCAGGGTTCATTCCAATCACTAGAACATGTTATCATGGGCAGAATGGAATATGTTTGGTCTCAAATATTAGATTGTGCTACCATGTGGCCATTTGTAGAAAAACTGCAGGTATGTAGTGTACATTTATTTAATGTATGAAATATTTCATATAATATTATGTATGCAGTTTTAGTTCCTTCAGTATGTTGGATTTGTGACCATGAAATGTTAATAAACGTTTGATTTTCAAGTTCAAAAATATGTAACTCCCATCTTGTTTTTCTGTAAGATATAAGGTCTAGAATCACTTAACAAAAGCAAATGATTACCAACCAACATTTCTTATTATATAGTTAGATGCTGTTATACCCAGTGTCACGAGATTACACGCTTCAAGGTCTCGGTAAAATCATAATGTTGCAATACAAACAGTGGAGCTCGGGCAAACTGAACATTTTGCAGGACATCTCACTAGAACCTGCTGTAACTTTTTCATTTTTTAATGGGAACGGTGAAATATTTCGATTACCGCATTCTTACTAACGTAATAATACCATTATAATTAATTTGCCATGGCATTTTATTATTTTAACAATTGAAAAATCTTTTCATGTATTTCAAATTACTCTTCATTGCATAGCTAAAAGCATACCCTACTACAAATTTATGTTCTATGAAATGAAGCTGAAGGTTCAAACTGTGTGTTTTCAAAAACCACATTTCAATCAGTCATTTAGTTTATGAGAAAATACAGTGTTTGTTAGTGTGTTCTGTGTGCTTTGTGATTTTGCACTGTGACTGGGACCATGTTACGTAAACAGTTACTTTGGTACCCTCTTTTTTCTTTTAAAACAAAATATATAATGTATTACTAGAATGTTTAGGTTGCTCAGAAATGTCTTTGAAAATACTTGTCCCCTATTATTCTGATTTTTTATGGCAGATTTCCTTAATCTGTCCAGCTTCACTCATGTTATAACAGCTAACGATGTTTCAGGCTGATTTTCCATATCACCGCACAGCGATTTAATGCATGAAACAACAGATAATATGAAATTGTAAAATATGAATAAATTAGAACTCACAAGACAACAGTGCCATGGCAGGTTATGCGATTGCTTGCTTAAGAGCGGTGTAGCTACTCGTATACTGTTAACTTCTAGCAGCGGGGTAAGGGGGTGAATTCCTTTCAATGCCCTTGAGGCATGCAATTTGATGATGACAGGTATGGTAGTGGGTAGCTTGTGCATTGAATACTGTATTGATTGTGTAATTTACAGGTTCCTTTCAATAATATCACAACTCTTGACGCTCCTCCAGAAGGAATTTTGCATCACTTAAAGTCTCTTGATTTAGAAGGAAATTTAATTAATGACTGGCGAGAAATAAATAAACTTGGACAGCTACCATGGTAAGATACAGATACGTGTGCAGACACACTGTTGTATTATATTTGTTCAGTTTTAAGGCCAGTCCCTTGTTTAGGTGTGTTTCTGCTGCCAATGCAGTCTGTCAGCACATCGACATCTTTAACAAGGAGTATATTTTGCTTAGGCATTTTATTTAGCCCATTTTCTTTTCTTGTAATTAAAGTTTCATTTTGTATGTATTGTTCATAATTAACTAATTTTAATTTAATTATTATATACTTAGCTCATTTGATTGCTGATTATTATGCAATAAATGAATTGAATTATTATTAGTATTAATATTGTACATTTATATATTTAGTTCATTGTTAGTTTTGTTTTTGTATTGTTGTTAGTGCTTGGCTGTTGCCAAGCACTCAAATAAATGAATTGAATTATTATTAGTATTAATATTGTACATTTATATATTTAGTTCATTGTTAGTTTTGTTTTTGTATTGTTGTTAGTGCTTGGCTGTTGCCAAGCACTCAAATAAATGAACTGAATTGAATTAATGTACAGTCCACAGACCAGGAGAAAAGCCCTGCTAAGAATGTGATACACGCGCATGCGCAAGATTTCAGAACTTTGGTGCTGCAACTGGAAGAGATTTCACCTCTTGCAATACACAATGCAACAAAGCAATTTTTAAATATGGCCTGAGTATTGAAGCAGACACACTGAAATACTGGAAGCAACATATATGATGTTTCTGTGACTGTTACCGAGTATCGCAAGACTAGATCATCAACAAAATACAGACATCTAAAGAACTGACTACATAGAAGACACTGAGAATACCAAAGTCAGCACAGGAATACACATTGATAAGATACAGGAAGAAGAGTGACCGCACCTAGATAGTAAAGAGCAGGCAATCAAGTTTTATGATGTGTGTAACATAACCATACAATGAGGAGAGTTTCCATAAATTACATATTTATGTCTGCAAATTTTATTCCTCAAGTTTACAGGCATTAAAACAACACAAATACAGTTTTAGTCCTTTTTTATTTATATGTATCTTTGTGCCCATAAACATTTGCCCTTTTCCATGTTGTTTGGGACTGCCATAATAGATAATCTAAACAGAGGACTTGGATTGATTTTTCAGTTTGGAGTATTTGAATGCATCTGATGTTGGTGTGAAAGAAGTTTATTTTCCTGTCTGCGAGACTGAACAGAAAACAAGATTGTTTCCTGCGCTGAAGCAACTCAATCTTTCAAGAAATAATATTGACAGCGTAAGTTTTCAACAAAAGTTAGACAATAGTGAGATTATTTTCTATCTGTATTTTATTCATATTTATATCTTTTGAAAATATTAATGCATTGTACTGAAGATGGCTGTTTTATGTGTTGTTGCGCCTTAGTTTTGTAGAAACTAACAGACAGTTCAGAGGTGCTTTCTGTCTTCGTCAACAGGCCAGTTACGGACAGTTCAGAGGTGTTTTCTGTCTTCGTCAACAGGCCAGTTACAGCTCTGATGATGGGTGTAGTAAGTATCTCTGAAACATTTGGCAATTTCTATGAGAATATGTGATGCATCAACAAAGAAGACGGTCATTTTCATGCTTGCCACCATGTGAACCTTAAATCTCAATAATTCAATGTATTGTTTTTTGACTTTGCAGCTGGTTGCGCTAACTCCGGTTGTATTTATCATTGTTATGTAAAGAATATGGTAATGTGGGATAACCATTTTTAGAACTAGTGTCATCTAGTGGAGATGCACAACAACAATCACCTGGGTTATTTGAAACAAAAGTCTTGAGAGTTTTTGTATTGATTGGCGTGGTTGGGAATTTGTAAATATGCTGCATTTGTTTTCTGTATAATTTTGAACTTGAAAAGTTCTTTTGTGCTTATCCTGTGTGTGTGTGTGTGTCTATATATAAATCAGAAATGGAAACATTGTTTTTGGCATATTGTTATGAAATTTGCAATTTGTGGATAGTTTTCCCCTGTTTACGTACACTCGACATCTTTAAATCACCTGTGATTGAATATAGAATATTATCACAACACCCATAGAACACAGAACCGACGCACTCAATACACGCTAATCTCAACTGCTTGATGTTTTCAGTCTGTGTAGTAGCATAACTCTCTGGCGTGTCACACTCCCCACCAATAGCAGCCCTCTAGTCCACCAGGCAGTAAACATTCCCCTGCACCGCACCAGAAACGACTTCCCCCGCAGGGCTTTTCTCGTGATCTGTAGACAGTACTTCTATTCACATTTATCAATAAATTTTATAATAATAACAGTTAGGAGCAGCTTTTACAAATTATGTTTTAGAATATTTTATAACACAATTTATTGAATTTTCTTTATCAGTTGGAGTCCATGAATGAGCTAAATAAGTTGCTTCTGCTGGAAGAACTGAGGTTCCATCAGAATCCTGTGCTCCAAGACAAAAGTGCAGAGACATCGAGACAACTTATAATAGCAAGAATTGGTAATCTGAAGGTAACAGGCACTTAGTTCTTTATGCTTAATGTATTCAGGATAGGGACTTAACATATGGTCTGCACCCTCTTTTTTATCTTTTGTGCACTTAAGTCTTGAGTCAATTCCAGGAATTTTGATGCACCGTGTACTTACTTTTCTGTACCAGTAGATGTAGATGTCACATGATTCTTTGAAAATAAGTACAGAATCAGGCAAATTAATAGAAAGTATTGTAAGATTGGTGCTCTGCAAAATTTTAGAGTTTGACATTTATCACACAAAATAGCACTGTTCATGTACATGGAGGACTTCAATCTTCAGTGTAGTTGTTTCAGTACTGGGCTCAGAGTAGAATTCCTTTCCGCAGATATTCTGTTCTTAGTATGTTAGTGTAAGGTGACATGAAATGTTGCACCATAAAATTTTGAAGAAGAGGAAATCATTCAGGGGATTATCTGATTGTGTTTCTTCAGACTGCCACATAGCGCAGAGCAGTTGCCAAGACTGCAAACAAGCCATGCCAGTACTATACATAGGGTTTAAAATGATAAGTTTTACAGAAGTAAAAAGTGGAATAGCACTTATAGGAAATATTCATGATTATTTTGGAGCACATTGGGTTTCTATAGAAATAACACTGTATAGTGCAGAAACTTTGAGATGTGAATCACTGGTGGTCTGTGCTTGTGTGCAAGGGCATAATGCAGTCCTCGTCTTCCTGCTACCGGGCTACTTAATTTTTTAGCCATTGAGAGGCAATGGAAGGAATGAGACCATTCGTTTGAACTTAATTGTCAAAGGAATCTTCTCCAGAAGACAGTAACTTTGTTGGACTGTACGAAGGATTGCAGATAAATGTGCTTGGTGCCTTGCATTATGTTTACTAAGCAAGGCAAGAAGTGAATGTGTGTGCCATGTATAACTATATCGCAAAAGCTTACCTTCGTTTGTTTATATACTAGTGAAGCAGAAGTATAGGTATGTGAGACCATGGTATTGGATGCTGACTGGGAGAAACTTATCTCTGGTTCAACATTCAGTACTTTTGCTGAATTAAATGCAGTATTAGTCGTGTGTGAACAGTGGAACATTGATGTTATGATAGATTAACATGTGAGGAAGACAAGTGGATTTTCAGACGAGGAAGATGACTAGAAGTGATGTCAGCCATCAGAATTAATCAGGAACTATGCATTTAGTGTCAACATGAGTTGAAAGTTCTTTTTAACTGGCAACATACTTGAGAAAGAAGTTTAGGACATTCACAGACAGAAAGTCCAAACAGAACAAGATACTGAAGTATATACAGTGCTTATTCTGGGCAGAAACTATCAGTGTTTGAACATTACTTTAAATGCGAAAGGTAAGTATTAACTTCTGATCTGTTTTTTTTTTAATTTCCTGCAATTTATTAATTCACACAATTTACGCCACTTTTCATTGATCCCCAGAAAAGTGTATATAAGGGGTTCCACTGTATATAGCAAATAAAGTGACCCAGCATCCATCCAATGGCTTACCAACCTACTTGTTTTGTTTTTTCACTTTTTGCATAGAATTTGAATGGAGCTCCGGTTACCACTGATGAACGTAAGGGAGCTGAAATTGATTATTTAAAGAAGCACAGTGAAGTATGGCTAAGAGAGGCCAAACTATCAGATGTCACGATCCATAAACCGATCTTGGACAAGTTTATTCAAACCCATCCTCGGTATCCTCTGCTTGTTGATAGTAAGTATTATTTATGATGGACATAGAAACTTGTGGTTGTATAGGTATATTTAACTTCCATAATACATGCAATTTAATGCTTTATTATAACTTACTATGACATATAATTATGAAGCATTGACCTTTAATGGATTGCATTTATTTTTGAAATATGGGAAACTTTGCCCTTCATTAAATATTTGAACCAGATAGAAATTTATGAGCAAAAAGTGTGTTACAAAGGGTTTACGTAATAGTACTTACACATTCATTACACTTATGTTTTGTTTTTATATTAAGGTAATATTAATATGAAACCAAGAACACTAAAAGCAAGATATTAAAATCTGCACTTCAAAGGTAAACAGTTGTATTTCCAGTTTAGACTCTTTTCTACCATCGATTATAATAAAAAATCCTTAGAATGGAATTTATGTATTGACACACAGCAATGACTCCTGTCATTGTATCAAGTATACAAACATGCATGTAGATACTTGCTTGTGTATAAACAGATGTGTTCAAGAATGAGACTCAAGGTCACATGTAAAAAGCTGGAAACGTATCTGGAAGTAGGAAGACTGTGACTGGGAACAACTTTACTAAAAGTACCATAAACTTCTTAATGTACAGATGATGCAGTTAGAAGATATTATCCTATTCTGGACCTTTCAAACACCACATAATACCTGACTGTTTTTTCTTGTGGTTTTCCTCAGTCATTCCAGGAAAATATCAGGATAATACCTTAAATTAAGCCTTGACTGCTTCCTTTAAGAAATGTAGAAGGTGTGTGGTGCAGGAGTGTGATTCATTCCGCTACATGCCAAGTTGACAGTTGATAAAATGGAGCATTCTGACATGGCACATCAGATAAAAACGAATGTCATATAACTGATGGTTGATAATTGGGACTGAACTACATATCAAACAGAGATAGTGTTAGACCACATCTTCCACATGTGCGCAAGATATGCTGTTGCCAGAAATAACTCTCACTTTACATGTTTCTATCCCATCGAAGCTCATGATGTAAATATCTTGGACTGTGTTCCAGAGTATGGCGCTCCAGGTGAAGAATACACGGCCCGAAAATTTAGCACAAATCTGATAAGTATCCTTTCAAAAGTTCTATCATCTGCTTTTTTAAAACTGTTATCCTCTTCAATAAACAAATATTTTCCTTAACAGTTGTTTTTAGCTGTTGAAATTTTTAGTCCAGACCATGGAGGTAGATCATATACAAAGAAATTACCACAGTCCATGCAGGTCCAGACGTTGATTGGCATGTCCCAGAGGCTATTTGACACAACGACTGTAATCCCAAAACTAGCATATATCAGCTCAAAGGTTAGATGCAATTTATTATATATTTATTTGTATGTTAAAGATAAGTAAGTACTTTTGAATTTTATCTTCCAGTCAAAAAGGTTATTTTTAATTAATTCATGCATCTATTATCTGTGTGCAGTAAAAGTTTAACATTCCTAGCTGTTTCTCTTCTTATCCTTTTAAGCTTGAATAATTTGTAATAGATGTAATTGGCACAGAATTTACATGGCATGATCAAATTCAATTTGAGAAATTTTCATTCTATACTGATGGTCTAAAGTAGGTTATAATCATGGCGTGTTAGAACCAACAAGCTCTGTATACTTGGATTGGTCTAGTAACATTTAAAATACTAATATGCTATTCCACAATACCATTCTTTTGACTGTTTTTGTTACACAATGAAGAATATGTGATATTTAAGTTTGTCACAGTGATCTTCTGGATTGTGAATTGTGTGAACATGCTGGTAGGTGCCAGCGGCATTATGTTCCGTTGAAATGTTGGTACCCTCATGCAAGTCCACATGGTGCCACAACCAAGAAGGCTGCCAACATGGGAGATTAAGAATGCATTGACAGACCAATTCATGGCATGGTGTCATCACAAAAAGAGAAATGAATACACAAGTGTCAGTAAATAGCAGTGAAAGCCTCTTTAAAATTTTTCACATACTTTCATATATGCCAGCATTGGTTTTCATTTTAACATCTGCAATTGTAATATCCACTGAATGTTTCTCCTTTCTTTCAGTATCCTGATATTGAGTTTCCATTAGATAATAATCTGAAGGAACTCTCCTTTTTTTCCATTGAAGATGGAGACAGTATCACTGTACGTTGGTAATGCTCGAGCGAACTTTGCCTGCCTGCAAGTTATTTTTTTATGTCTGTGAAAATGTAACGTACATAAAAATTGAAACTTCTCTTTACTTAGAACATTAAAATTTGTTATCTGGATTAAAGAAACTGGTGGAATGTTTTCTGTTTGGGAAGCATCACACTGACTTATGATTTTAGAAGACTTTGGGCTACCGCACACGTAAGACTTAACCGTTGGCTGACTGTTCTGTCGTTGTAGGCTGAAGCATACGACCCATAAACGACACGACAGTTCAGTCCATGAGCACGCGTATATGTACGACTAAACAGTCGTTCTCTTGTGCTCTTTTGTTCCACATTCTTTTCTCTATGCTCGCCGAGTACAGAAGTCAGGAATGTTGCTCTTTATGACAAAAAATTTAAAGATTATGCAAACATCAATGTTAATAGGTTATACTTGGTCTCAGCAATAATAGAAGTTCATCAAAACTTTGTGTACTCATGCGAAAATATGAAAAGAATTTTGCAGGCTAATTCCGTAATGTTTCATACATGGTATAGAATTTTCCTTTCAACAGTCTCTCACTGTATAATGGATGCACCCAGTAATTCCTTTTCCTCCTTTTTTTAAGGTGAATCACAAGTGCACATACTACAGCAGTTTCGACAAAATCCATGTTTGACAATCGTCTACTGTCTGCAAATGCTCTCATGAAATGAAAGGCAGAACGACTGAAAGGTCGTTCGTCTGCGCGCTTTCATATAATTCGAAGGGCCAACGACAGTTGGTAGACGGAAAAATTCGGGGTTGTCGGTAGAGGTAACCGACTGCCAGTCGTGTCGTAACAGTATGCACACTTCTATATGTTCTTAAGGGCTTTGTGCGAACGACGAAACAGTTGTCTGACTGCTTGTCTTACGTGTGCGGTAGCCCTTAGATGTCTTTACAGCTACCAGTCCCTGTTTTAAAGTTGAAGTCACACACTTAATAAATTTATAATTTGTTTACGCAGTATTGCTTTTTATACCATATGAAGATTTTTAAAGTGTTAATGTATCAAGTTTCATCCATTTAAAATTAATACGTAATTTACAGAATACTGAATGTTCATTAACAATAAAATAAACTGTAATCATTTGTGTAACATTGAAAATGCCAATATTTGTTAGCCACAAAATAAATAAAGCAATTAAAACAGAACAGCTTTATGAATTGTACTTTTTGCCAAGTTGTGTTTGTAAGAACTTCAGTTCAGAAATTCATGTAACATGATCATATTTATAAAATGAATTATAGGTTCATAAAATTTGGCTGTGTAGACATGTGAAGGTATGTATATAATACTGATTTTCCTATTCGATTCTAATTTTAAGTACATGAATTACTTCAGGCCAGTGGCATGTTCTGATAATAACTTTCAAGTATATGTCATTTATCCACACACATTAACCCAACCTAACCTATTTTTAAAGCGATGTGTCCCGATAACCCACAAGTACCATCTTTCCCTTCAAAGCATTCCTCCTTTGCATCAAGACTGGTACTCCACAAAGAACAAGTAATGTTCTTGTGGCCAGGATTTGGTGTTAGCAACATCAAAGGGACTGCTGAAGGCTGCCTCGTCGAGTTTCTGCTTTCTCAGAATCTGAGAGAGCTAATCCACCTAGCACATTTTTTAAAGAAACCAATATTTATTCCATAGCATTGTTATTGATAATTTTATACATAGTATATTTATGAGGAAAATCCTATTTTTCCACATACGTCCACTCTCAATTGCTTTCTTCCACCTCTTAACAAATGCTTGTATACTCGCCTTGTAAAAGTCAGGACCTGAACCCTCAGACAATTTTTCCCCGCTGCCACAAGACTCCACTTTTCCCAGATAATCGCTTAACCCAACGACCAACTGTGCTGCGATCGACAGCATCATCCCCATACACCTGCAGTCGCTTGTGGCTGTTTCCACTGTCACGTTCTGGCACACCGACAATTCAACTACAGAACATTGCTTTTAACACATGTCAAGTACACCCGCCATTTTAAACGTATGGTACAACAACGCCACTACCGGGACATGAATAAACTAAGCACGAATAGAAGCGGGAAGAATATATATATATATATATATATCAACTTCTGTACTCAAAATCTCAAATAATGTTCAGGTCTACTACCCACTGAACACACCCAATACCTCATCCCCTTAAAACCATAAAAACGTAGGTCAGTTTCTTTATTCAGAACTCAACAGTGCTCTCTCCTAATGTTCTACTGCCAAATCCCCTTCTTAATGGCAAACTATACAAGCAGTACACTAGACACAAATGAGTAAAGTATTATTTATTTGTGAATCTTTTCAGTATTTCCTTCGAGCTTACATTCATACACTAGTGACAAGACTTTGAATGCATGACATTCTCATGACCATATGACTGGAATTTAATAAAAGAGATTTATAGGGTTGATAATGATAAAGAATTAAAATAAAAAATCTGTCAGTTGCAACCTTTATTTCCTTTTATGATTATTCTAAGGCAAAATGTTTTGATCCATCGTGGACCATCTTCAGGCTATTATGTAAGAACCATCAACACACACAGATTATTACAAGCATCTACCATGGAAACTACAACCATGAAATGTATGTTTTGAAACAGGAATACAAAAAATTCAACAAACCACAGATAAGTAAAAACTACATAATGTATTAACCCCACTTCTTCCACATAAAAACATATAAGCAAAAAATCATAAATAGTAACTACAAGTACTGTATAAACCATTCTATGAAACATAATATCTAATATAACATTAATTATACTTTTTAATTTAATTTCATCATATGCATGTCTCATTAAATATGGATATTATATTTTTATTTGCATTTATGTATATAATTTTTATCTTCAGACTTTTAATATAATTGCAACACCTAATATTTTAAAATTTAATATATTCTATGTAACTCAACATATGTTAATTACAAAGGTTTATATTCAATAATTGTAAGCATAATTTTACTTTGGACACAATACTTGTATGACCTGAGGATAGTCCAAAATAGACAAACATGCTGCCTTAGAATAAACATAAAAAGAAATAAAGGTTGACTGACAGATTCTTTATCCTAATTCATAAACACCACAACCAGAGGCACAGAAATATGATAAAGAAATAACAGCTGGAAACATAACAAAAGCAGCCAGAGGCACAGAAATAACAGCTGGAAACATAACAAAATACTGTACATAGCACTGAAAAAATTTATAGTCTCATAACTGCCATGAAACATGTAAATAAAAGGCAACTTAGTGGCATGCTAAGCTGACACCTATCCTGCCAGAATATTCTCAACAGTGCAACATATGGAGTGTAAATATTAATTAAACACTAATTTGCTTCAGAATTTGTCTCTGAATAGGATCTCCAGATATATCTTACTCTTCACTACTTATATGCATAGTTTAGGTTATATTTTCATCTTGTACCCATCTTTAACTTAATAAATATTGCACCACTATACTTAATGTGCAACTCAATGATTATTGTCAAGTTCAAAATACTAGGCGAGACCAGATGTCACAATGGCCTCATTAAACATACATGTTCCATATACATTAGTTTGTACTTGAAATTTATAATATGTATCTCTCAATTCTATATTTTCAGAGATTTCACTGGTTAATTCTTCAACAAGTGCATGTGTGTATTCATGCATGCAGTGTCTGAGTGGAGAACTGATTCAGCCTTCAACCAAATGAACCCATCTGCACAGGTGCAGAACACTGCAGTTCTAAAACACAATGTGGAAACACAATTTTACTCTGTTCTCCATTAGTTTTCTAACTTCATAGTGTTTCACCTCATTCTTATATTTTTAGCATTTCATAATTTACACAAAATTTAGTATATTAGTTGGGTCACTGGTAACATACCCATAGTATCATATTATGGATGTTGCTCCAGCAGTGGAAACATTTTTTGCAAGGGGCAATGTTCTTGGGACAGCATTCCACATGACGTCGTGGCTTTAAAGTGTAGACAATTTTGCACTCAGTATGAACACACATACATATGTACATCTATGAAAGTATGAGCACACATTCATGTATTCAAAACAGATGACTGGTTATTCAGTTCCTCGAAACACTATCAAATGCTGAGAAGCATCAAGTAATATACAATGGGATCACTGTCAGTGATGACTTTGTACGATGATAGCAATTGCGGCCTGTTTCAAAATATAAATCTGGCAGTTAGTCAAAAAGAATAAGGAAAACCACATGCACACAAAATCTGCTCAGACAGCTTTACTATTATCGTAGCAATTTGGAGAAACACGAGATCATATTGCATTATCCCCAGATAAAGGAATAACCACCACTTCACTAAACCTATAAAACTCTTACATGATCGGCAGCAAAATGAGCTGGAATCAATACTTTCAATGCAAGATCACGTTATTTGCCTCATGCTTTGAATCCTGTGGCATATTCTTATAGTGTACCACTTGACATATCTTGACAAATGCTGTTTATAATAACCTAAAATATCAAGAATATTTACTTTGCATTATTGCTTGCATATAAACAGTTTCATGAAATACTGTGTACCACTAACAAAATGTAGAGCAATACTGTTATTGGTAAATAAAAAACATTTATTTCTTTACTTATAGGACTTCAATTTCAGCTGCTCCCAAATAATGAATTTAAACCATATACACCAACAAGTTGATAGTATGAAAATAAATCACTTACCAAGATAAGGAACCACAGAGCACACACATAAGGGCTGCCCAACCTTGTCAACACAGTCACAGTGATTTAAAATTCCTTCTTCCACATGCTATACTGTAAGGGAAAGCAACAATTCACTAGCTTTTCGTTGGTCCTTATCTCTGTAGTGGAATTCTTCAATGGAGCTACCTCTCAATTTATTCAATTACAATTCAGATCTGACAATTGAATAAAACGTGAGTGATGTGCATTACATCAAAGCAGCCAACCAGCAATGAATTATCCTACAATTAATAAATTACACCTGCATGTTCTATGGCTGCAACCAGTGTCCCATATTATTCCTCTATGTAGATATTCTTATTCAGACCATACTGGTACCAAAATAAAAAACTGTCTTATAATGCAGCTAGAAAAAACACCCTATACAAAACTCAAGAGTTACTTCTTATTTGTTACCAGAACTACAGAAAAATCTTCTCACATGCTGAAAGAACTAAAATGAGTGGATTACAAACTTTGAGAAACTGACATCACTCTTTTGAATTTGTCAAAGTCCCTCTGCTGATAGTGATTTGAACACCCATAGTCAAAGTTTTCTGTGAAGGTAACTTACGTCCGGAAATGTTTATCACAGTGGAAAAAGCATACAATTAGTAATAAGAAATAGGGGGGGGGGGGGGGGGAAAAAGGGAAGGACCTAGTGGTCTACGAGTAAGAACGGTATAAATGGTTTCAGGTTCAAGATCTAGCTGACCAGTGCAGACTTTACCACCTGCCAGTCTCAAACCTGACCTCTAAAACAGTCAAAAATAATTAATATGGGGAATAATAAACCCTCATGATGGTTTGGAGTCCTCAAAACTGTAGGTTTCATCTGACAGCCATCATCCTCACCATAATACAATCAATGTGCAGAGCAGAGTCTGCCTCATGGTACTCTCATCTCAGACATGGATTCCTTTATCTAGTCTGGCAGGCAGAGATCTGTTGTTCAGTGACACTAAAAGTGGATGTGCTCACTACAAAAAAAGGAAGGCAAGAAAGAAAAGTGAAGAATGGGAGACTTAACAGTTCTGTGATATAAATATTCTTGTATGTAACAAATGCCCACCTTCCTAGATACTGTGCATTATTCAACTGTCAGAAATTAAAACAGGATAATTAACAAATTAATGTCATAACTACAGGAACTTATTCTTCTTGTCATTTCCAGTCAGAATTGTCATATAAACACAGGTCCACTTCTGCCACACATTTTATCATTACCTCATTGTTAGAAAATCAAAACTGACAAGGGAATGGTACGGTCGGTCACGTTGAAACCTCACCTGAAATTTTGCCCGTCTACAGAGCCCATCTAGTAATGATTGTACACAATATTTCAGCTGCTGATACACTGTGCAAGGTTGTGAAAAAATTGCTCAAAATTCGAATGTATCGCGCACACATCTGACAGCAGTGCGCCTAGCAGTGGCATGGTATTCACCGGTACATTGCAACAGAGAGCGTGGGACAGGCGCTGAGAAGGCATACTGCCTCTGTCATCAGGGTGATTCATTGCCCTGATGACGTAGGCAGTATGACCTCTGAAACGTTGGTGGAAATCTACCAGACTACATGGTGCAATAACCCAGAAGACAGCAATCTTCAGGGAAATTATGAGTAAGGAAAAAAAAAAGAATGGAAAGCCAGGAATGTAGGTAATATTAAAAGGTTTCCAAAGAAAAAGGATACGCGGTGATGGAGTGGATCCATTAAATGCAAGGGAACATTTTAAGGACCTACTGGGCAAGGGAGTCAAAGAATGGGGAATAAGGAAGGAAAATGACCTCCTCAGCCCTGAAAGGTGGGAATATTTGGATAGAAAAACAGACGGAATACGCGTTAAATTATTCTTAAATCTTTTAACATTTACGTAATGACAGATCCATAACTGCTGATTGCCACATGTTTATATGACATTTCCGAATGAGAATGACCTCAGGAATAAGCTCCAGAAGACATCAAGTTGTGAATCATTCTGTATGTTATGGCAAAAGTGAAAAATGTGGTTATTATGAATAATAACTGGTAATTATACAAAATCTCCATTTGAAAATTATACACAATCACTGGTTATTATTCATAACCATCAATTAATTACTATTACCACTATACATACACAAAATACAGTCCTCGAGTATGGTAACCTACCATGAAGGCAAACAATATGACTAGTACTGTTAATTAAGTTCAACTTCAAATAAATAGCTTTGATACAACTAGCTTTAAATGCTATGATCCGCACCAAAAGCACATTGTGAAAGTCAGGGAATATATCCCCTTTGAAGGAAGTCTAAACCAACAAGACTACTGAAAGAGTAGCACCTACAACTGAACACCACAAAAACTTTCTGCACCTTCATCTGCTATTGGATAAGAAACAAGATGGCCATTTCCAGGACCAAATATCCAAAATCTACTCCACAACACTTAAATTATAAATTCTGACTACACCAGTTGCTGCATCTGAGTTCAAAAATCTTGAATAGTGATGACGATTAGATCGTATTCTGCAGCCATTCTTTCCAGTAATCTTGTGGTTTTAAGCCACTTATGTCTTTTCCATCCTGTCTGTAATGTATATTAAATGCATATTTATCTCTGAAATGTTTTAACAATGATACATCCCATATTTGAATGGCATATATACCAATTACTTTTTACAAATATTTGTAATCCATACTGCTAGCACAAAACAGGCTATGGACATCTCTCAGAAAAATATTAATTTCTTTGACTTGGTAAACAGTTTTAAATTCTCTTTGGGCAACCTCCTAACAGTTGCACAGGAAACAAGACATCACCATTTGTTCTACCTATAAATACAATTTTTACACAAATATTCTCACTACAAATTCTTCATCATCTTTCACTTCTTCACACAAAATGAGAGGGTTCTTCATAACAAATATTGTTTAAAAAAGTACACATAACAGACTGGCTGATTAAAAGAATTCACAATACCTGTTATAAAAATGGTTGCATTACTTCAATTTGTGCACTGAAAATCACATTAAACACTGCTCTTATGTCACTTGCAAACACCAAAATGATGAACAACCAGGGTAATCCTGTTGTTTTGTGCAGTTAAAGAAATCCATTATTACAGTGGTAATGGGTCAGGATTATCGCGTATTCTGAAGTAGCTTTTCTTGGTAAATTTAAAACCTTTAAATAGTTCAGAAATATAAAATGAGATGATCTGATATTTAAACTGTTTCTACCCTGTGTTGGGTATTAACATTAACTATGAATTTACTAGGATACGCACATGCAGAAAGTTTTCCAATGGCACTCTACTAGGAATGAAAGTTTTCAACTACAAATGGCAAGACTAAAGTGGCCCTGCTACAGAGTTTGGCCAAACTGCACCTAATTAAATTTTTTTATTTTAATGAGTACATCCAAGATAGAAACTGTCAAAGTAATGTGAAAGCAGTAGCGTTCATAAACTAATGACCAAAATCAAAAGTTACGCACCGTTGCACCGTATAACAATACTGTTTTTATAGGAAATACTTCAGTGCATTTACCACTTTGTAAAACTGCAGTATATAAAATAAACAATCAGGCCCCCACAACATATTTTAATACGAGCATGCTAACAGGTCAGTACCAAAAGCCGTTCCTACGATACTTTGCAGTCCCAGTTCAATAATCCTGCCTGAAGAGCATGTTCCATATTTGACCAATACATCCTATGATGATATTGTCGGGGAATTAACAGAACAAATCAAAAAACAAAGTTTTGCAACAGTTTTATCTTCCAATCATATATCCATGATAAAAGAACTGAGGGATATTAGAGCCTAGTGGCTGGAGCCTGATGTTACAATGACGTATCTGGGGAACTCTCTTGATGTGAATTGAGGGAGTGTTGTAGGGCCATTGGTGTTAACCATTCTCTGGGCAGGCAGCGCTGGAGGAACGGAACACACGAGCTGAAGTACGCTAGCCGATTAACCCAGGATGGTATCTCTTGGCCACACAGTATCTGTATGCAAAAGTGCAAAGCTAAGGATGGTGAAGTAATTATATGTAATGCTGCATCATTATAGCATATAATTTTCTTGCGAGGTTGAAAATGATTTCCTAAGAAAGTGGATTTTAACACAGCACAGAGTAATAAGACCATCAACATTCTTAAAAGCACACAATTGTAAAGCTGGATTAACACTATCGTGCAAATTTGTACAAGATATCAAAGAACTAGACAGCGTCACACATCAAATTTAGTCACCAGTCAACAAAAATTAATGTAAGTGTCCACATTCTACAAATTACAAAGCTGAATTTATGCAGCTAAATGGGTTAGCACATTACAAGTTGTGTGCCAACCTGCAACACAGAACTTTAACCTGGTGATGATATTGCAGTCCATTCACACTCAAACCCACCTTCACAGCAGAAATATACAAAAGGATTTACCTTTCACCATTAATATTATGGCTGGCCATTTGGCTTTGAACAATCAAGATGCTAAAGTAGGTGCTTAAAGGAATGTGTAAATACTTCTTTTATTTCGGCATTTGTCTGAAGTAGCGTATTCCTCCAGCAACAAACCAAAGAGATGAGAGAATAATATCCAAATTAGTCTTATAAAAGTGAACTGTAAATGCGTAGAAAGGTTTCAAATGCTCAGCACATGATCAAATAATATGATTCTGTAAATACAGTAATGCACCTTCAAGATCCTTAGAGCAGAAATTTTTTTGACTAGTTGAGTGACCATCAGCTTCTCTAGAAGGATCCTGAGCCATGAAGTCAGTATAAATCATGACAAACATCTGAAATACACACATTTTAGACCCTTTACCAATTTTTTCATAATTCAATAACCTTTCTGAAGATTATGTCCTCGTTCCTTGCATTTCTTCTGACGCACCACTGCGAGATACTAAATATAGCAGACACACTGGCTGTAGGGGCCAGGGTAGCTCAGTCAATATAGTGACCGACTATTGACTGGACAACCAGCGTTCAATCCCTGACACAGGCTGAAGATTCTTTTCCCTACCCTGTGCGTCCAGACTGGCTCTGGAGCCTAATCAGCCTTCTGTCCAATGGGTACCAGGGGTCCTTTCCTGGGGGTAAAGCATGGCCAGAACATGATAATGACCACTCACCCCCACCTAGTACCGAGGTTAAGAATGAGAGTAGGAGCTATACCCTGTCTCCCCCCAAGCGTCCATGTGACATAGCAGCATAGCTTTACATACACTGACTACTAGGCACATAGCTTACTGCCTTGAAATTTATTGCTCTTGGTTTCTTCTGTTTGTCTGAAGCCAATAGCAATTTAATTTTTATTTTATTATAAATGTACTTTATATGGGTGCTCAGATATGCAATTTAACATCACCCCTCAGATTAATCAGTTTCTTCCACATTATGAAACTCACTTTTACAGAGACCTCCATTTAAAAAAGAACACAATGACTGACTAAAATGTTTACATAGATTAGTACTTTTAGACACAAAGTCTTCTCGGTTATTGCACTCTCCTTATTTTAGTCTCTTCAGCACTGCCATATAAGATGTGGAAAACTCCGAGTAACAAAACTTACTTGTGTAAAGGAGCCTGAGAAGTGGTTACAATTTTTATTCATGAGGTGATAACGATCACCCCGAAAATCTTTCCCAAGTTCTGCAACTATTCTCTTAACATCATTTTCAGTAAAATCCGTGTGTCCCACATGAACTGACTGCCTGCAACGTAAACAAAATAAATTATGAAATGTAATAATCCAATTACTCTCAAATATCACAGAACAGGAGGATTATCACAAATCATCATTCACAACATCCACCTTGATGTACTTCATAAATAAATATGTTACAACATATCTTGGATTACATTGCATGTACATATGCACTGTCAAAACTGCAAAACATTACATAATAGAATGGACATGAAAAACACCAATACCTCCTAATTATGCAACATAACATGAACAAAATATTCATACCAACAAGTGGGTAAATAAAAACTATGGAAATCACAGGTTTACATTCGTGAATCACACATGAAGTGCATGGAAACAAGTTTGGTAGGTGTCACATTGTTTTAGTGAATGTTTCTGGTTCACTGACCACAGGTGAACAAGTTGACAGTCAGAACACACACTTGTAATATTTCGTTACAATTACCATACTTAACAAGATTTTTATCACCTTTAACAATGACATAATTAGCTAGCAGTGCAAGACAACCCTTCCTTTACACTGAAATTTATTTTTCTTAGTAAAATCAGTTTGTTAGGAAATCACACATCACCTCTGCATTATGGAACACGTCAAATGTTCCAAACTCCACATTATCCAGCCAGAATGCAGTCACTCGCCTAATATAGAATCCAATCAAGAACAAAATGCTCTTACAGTACTTAATCATTTGACATTCATGGGTGAGACTACATTATTAAAATAAAAACTAGCTTCACTTTTATATATGAACAAGATGATAAAAACTATATGCAACAGGTGGAAATTAGTTTTGCACAAGTCAGTTTTACAGCACACATCACTTCTGGCTGATTGCGAATCAGATCAAGCCGAACTTTTATGTACGTACAAAGTTTTTAAATATAGGGTGCGGCAGAGGAAACGCATGTTTTTCAAATAACAATAACTCAGTTGATTTTCAAGTTAAAAAAAATTTTAATTGCACAGAAAGAAAGGTTTTACAATGCAGTTTTTGTTGAACATTTTTGAATTACTTCCGAAAAATAACGTCCGTGAAGTGACGCCCTTCCTTCTGTATGCAATCTTGCAGCCTCTCCTCGAAATTCTGCATTGCTCTTCCCAACATTTCTTCCCCCACAGTAGCGATTTCCTGGCGAATGGAATCTTTCGGGTCCTGGATGTTCCGTGGTTTGTTTCTGTATACCTTTGATTTGAGGTAACCCCACAAAAAATAGTCTGTTTACGGAAAAGGCGCTGAACGGTAATTACGGATTCACAACTTTTGATATAATTTTCAACGACAAACACCCAATGCTCGTAGGTCCACGGTGCCAAGGCTACTGAAACTGCATCGTCTAAGCTGTCTACTAGCAAGGGGCTGAAATCCCCTACCCTCCTCTTTACCGAGTACTAGCCATTCGAAAAACATGCGTTTCCTCTGCCGCACCCTATATTTTAATGAAGTCTTCTGAACAATAAAAGGACGCACCCTATATAAATCTGAGGGGTTTCAACTTAACATGCAGAAGAATATGATGGTATACAATTACCTAAAAATATATATTTGAGAATCAAGAGTATTTCCTTTACTACTTAACCTTTGGCCCTAATGCATAACAAAATGGCATAATTAAAAGGGCACTGCCACTTATAATTAAATATAGTAAAATCTCATCTAAAATTTAAATACCAGTATACACAAACAACTGAGTTCACAGCACAATACAATAGTGCAGGGGTTCTCCCCCTTTTTCGCTGGCGTACCACTAATTCTAATTTAACACACTGAATGTACCACTAGCCAAATACGTTTAGGGAAAAATTATTTATGCTAACATTATCTTTTGATTCTCTTACTTAGTTCACGTACCACTCAACATCGGCTTGCATACCACCAGCGGTACACTTCAACCCCAGATATATTACAAAATCTTTCCTTAAAATCCATTTTTGAATCATCTTCCTACAGCTTTCCTCGCCAGAATTCTTCTCACATCTGATCGTACCACACCAGCTACGTGCCTAAACCACCGTAATCTCTCTGATGTAGCTACATCACTAATTACCAGGAGAAAAGTATAAATCACAAAAATGTTCATGAAAAATAAATTATACCTGAACTGAAACTGTTCCCCAAGTTCTTCTGCATCTCTGGGATTTATTTCAAATATACCAGAAAATGGAAATGGGTGTCCACCATAGGCATATTCTGAAATTAAAACACATTTCATACTGAAACCAAAATATGCAATGTGTTACAAAAATTGTTGCTGTTTTATCATTTGACAGACTTAATTCATATGTAACAGCAATGACAAGACGAAAGATGAAAGGGACGTCCTTACCCGTGCCATAGATTTCTACCCCAGAATGGAAGACTCCTAGTCCAAGTGATGTAGTATACTCATTAATCCAATACTGCAAAAGAACAATGCATATTAAAGTACAGTCATCTGAATTACTTGTTAATTAATTGACCTATAGTGCAGGTGCCTCCACACATCAAATCTGACCATAGACAAATGATTTTATCTGCAAAAATATATACTTCAAAACTATTTTTGTTTCACTAAGTAAACTAATGACTATATTTGCCCTTAAATGAGTGTTATTTTCAAAATCTTTAATAAGACATCAAGAATCTTTGAACTTCGACCATAAATCTCATTTGTCTCATCACAGACTCAGCATTTCCACAGAAGTCTCAAGATGGGTTATTTATCACTGCTTAGATGTATCTGCATTGCCGCTTTATAAACGTTCCACGCTCTTTTTGGTCCTCATAACCTTGCAGTGTGAGCCAAGAATTTCTTGTGGGTCTGCGAGTTTTCCAACAACATTGAGCCTGGAGGCCATTGTTCATTTTAATGATGTTATTTGTGTTGTCAAACTTATTGTGAATCCTTTTTTCTCACTCCCATTTTTATTCTTAAACATATTATTCATGTTGTTATTCTTACTGTTACTGTTATTCCTATTGTTACTCACACTATTAGCTGTACGCTTACATCACTTCCAGAATGGGACTTTGATGATTTCAAGTGCTTGATTTTTGTTCTACAGAGTATACAATAAAAGATTCACTCCACTGCTCTGGCAATTCTTCCTTAAACCTAATAAAAGTAATGTGTTTATGGGTTTTAGAACATATTACCTCCTACTCCATTAATTCTGCTTAAATCTGATCAAAACCTGGCAATTTATACCTGTTAAATTTTTCAACGGCAACACCAACCTTAAAAAAATAGTATACTCAGGTACTAATTCATCAGATGTTATGTACTTCAGTCTGCTTAACATCATTAACGCCAGTCATTTTCAACAGTTAACAATGGTAAATTCCAACTATTCAAAATAGTGAGGAAATCTGATAGTAGGTCATCATTCTCATCTTTTACCAAGCAATTTATAAGTTGGTAACATTCCTTAAATTCATTTATGCCTTTATATGTCTCTTGATACTATCGTTCATCGCCTTAATTTAGTCTTTCAGATATTCACACTTTCACCAGATACTGGTTGGGAAGCCTGAGGGGAAGAGACCTAGACGTAGATGGGAGGATAATGTCAGGCGGGATCTATGGGAGATAGGAGTTGAAGGAGACTGGATTTTGATGGCCCAGGACAGGGTCCGGTGGAGGGCTTTGGTTAGTTCGGTGATGAACCTTCGGGTTCGGTAAGCCATCTAGTTGGTTGGGTCCACTATTTGGGAAGCCTGAGGGGAAGAGATCTCTGGGGAGACCTAGACGTAGATGGGAGGATATTCTCAGGCGGGATCTATGGGAGATAGGAGATGAAGGAGACTGGATTTTGATGGCCCAGGACAGGGTCCGGTGGAGGGCTTTGGTTAGTTCGGTGATGAACCTTCGGGTTCGGTAAGCCATCTAGTTAGTTAGTTAGTTAGATATTCACACTTTTGTTCCTGAAAGTTTTACTAGTTTCATGACTTGCAGTGTTTGTATTATCTCCATTCATCTGACTTCAATTTTACATCCGATGCAATGAAGCATACTTCGTTTCATCTATTCACTTCAAACATTCATCAAAGCATGGCTTATTCTGCGTTAACTTGTATGATATAGGCTCTATTTGGCTGAAATTTTTATATTGTCTCTATTACTTTCCTCCACTTCATCATCCATGTTTTCCAAAGCTGCAAACCTGTCACTATGCTCACCTTCATTAAAGATCAATTTCTGGCAAATGTTCCAGAATTGTTACGATGCATATAACTTCCTGACTTCTATAAAGTGTTTAGATGATACCCACTTCCAAAAACTCTTAGACATCACTGGAGAATAAGCTGTGAAATCATGTTCAACTTCCATGCCCCCTACTAGCTATTATGATGTACTGACTAGGTATGTAACTAACTTCATCTCACACATTAAACCTATACTAGATTCAAAATGCTACAGCAAGAATTATCAAGCATGACCTCTGTTTGCAGTATATTGTACTAATGTTTAAATATTTACAATATATTTATTATCCGCTACTTTCCTTGGCATATTCACAGCTTACATACTACAATTAAAAATACAGACTTCTCACCATATCATAGACGTTGAGTATGACTGGTTCCCTTGCCATCTTCGGAATGAGCTCCTCTGTCTCCGTGGGGAAACCCAGACAACTGGGGAATGGGAGGTTGCAACTTATTCCAGAAGGAAACATTCAACAAATGGGTAGAGCTTTGTAGCGCAGCATGTCCCTCCTCCCCAACAGACAACCTACAAATGAATAATACAATTCAGATCACTATACTGTGTAGTGTCATCTACATGCAGACTGAAATGGCTTCCAAGATTTCTTACTTAAAGCCCAATGAGTATAATACGTATGTCCATTTGGAACCTATCAGTGCTCAGATAAGTTAAAATAAATATTACCTCAAATTACCAGGGGAACACAATCCACCTAAATTGACCTTATAGCATTTAAACATATATGAAGTTTAAAAATCACACTGATATTTTTGTGCAACGAATGGCAACAATATTAAGATGATGCATGTCAGTCGATATTACTGAGAAGTAAATGTTTTGTGATAGAAAAGACAGACATTACAGAAGCTGAAGAAATGGTAATTACTTGTCCATATCTAATTCCCAACTATATTGCGCATTTGCGTCCATCAGTGCTGGTTACAGTTTGAGAAGCCAAAAATAATTTCAATACCCACAGTCAAGAAAAGCAAATGTGGAAAGTGTATGAATGAACTGTGTAATACTCCAGTCTGGTATTTTACAGAACAAATGAAATTAGTAGTGATTAATTACAAGTTCTGTTACATTACAAGTCGCGCCTCATAAAATACATAAATAGCTCAAGAATTATTTTTAATGGCAGAAAAGACCAGTGTTTACTGATTACTATATCTTAACTTATTTAACAATGTTATTCAACTGACTAAGACAGCAAACCCCTACAGAAAACAGGCATGTCTAGAGGCCTTAAGGTGGCAACCCCACCACTAAACTTACTCAGCAGTGGACTGGTTCTCCACTCTGAGGACATACCACCAACTCGTAATCTCCACGATGAAAATAGCCGGACTGACACTACGACAACCACTGCAAGGAACAGGACTAAGAGATATGATTTAAACGAATTAAATATAGCAGTATGGAATGTGAGGGGGCCATGTAATAAAGAAGCAGAATTTTAGAAAGAGCTAAAAGTAGCCAATGTAGATATAGCAATAATTCCTGAAACTAAAAAGAAGTTGGGATTAAGATTTGAGAGATGATGTATTGTTCTACAATGGTGTTAACAGAAACAAAAGAGCAGCAGCTGGAATAGGGATCCTTGTCAAACATAAGTGGAAAAGCAAAATTGACTCCTACTCATTTGTTAATGCAAGAATTTTGAAATTAAGGTACAAAACAATACGATGATATGGCTATACTAGGTGTACCTACATGGCATACAGTGGAACAGCTTTACTTTTAACTACATGCTAATAAAACACATACTGCAACAGCAAATTAACAAGATTCAGTGAAACATGGTAAGCAATATAAAATTGATACATCACACCCCAGACTTCTTACAACATTCCCCATATATGTTATATTACATTTTCTCTTAATCACAGCCTTCAGACATACATGACTCCATGCATCCATACACAGTAGCTGAAAATGCAGTTTGGCCCTGATATGTTTACTGATTAGACAAAATATGTTAAGAAATAGTTTTGTATAAAACTCCACAACTCAAGACTACTGTATGTAGTAAATACAGGTGCTCAAAAACTCATTATTCATATGGAACGTGACACTTCATCCGAAAACAAAGCTATCTAGTCATCTGTAATAAAATACACACTTGTCAGCTTGAAGAATATTATTCCACTTCCACTGAAATATCTGTACTTCAACAAAATCCAACCCATACGTTACTAATTCTCCAACTACTCTATCAGAAAACCCACTATATTAAATTTTTGACAGTTTACATCTCATGCACTTTTCATTTTACTCAAAACTGTAAGTAATGAAATAAAATTTAATTTTACCTCTTACAGCAGTAACATTTATTTTTGTTCTCTACAGCCATGCTTAGCTGTATGACTATTTTTACTTTGATTTTATACAGCTCTTTTCACACAGTTTTCTACTCTGTATTGGGATAAATTTCACTTACATTAGCAAGTAGCATTCAAATCAATATACTTGTAATGGCTAGGTCCAAAACTTTCTATATAAAAGATGAATTAAACACATTAAGCATCCGAATTTAATTTATCGAGCATGTAACAAAGCTGCGTATACTGTTTCTCAACAAAATAATGATTGTTCATATCCAACAACATACCAATAATTGTACAAACAAAACAGTAGGCTTGGTCCTTTGCACTAAAAATTACTCAGCAACAGCACTCACTTTCAAGTTAACTTCACCGAGAACATATCCAGAAAACAACGTTTAGGCCAATTTTAATCTACTCGATTGCAGTCTAAATGTCCTCTTCTACTCTATACTAAAATTCAAACATCACGGAAGCATGAATTACGGTAAAGCAACTGCCGACGTAAATAACTACTTTTGATAATCGAGCAACCCTGGCAGGTTCCTCGATTCAGTTAAATGCTGTAGAGCTCAATTTTGTAGTATTTCCACATATACTGTTACAAATTCTGTAAATGGTATAAGTTATTGATTTCCACCGTGCATATTTTTTTAAGATTTGCTTTGTTAACATGAGATACAACTATCCACTAGTTACGTCCAAAAACTTTGAGCGCATTCTCAACCACACTTAATAGCAACATTCAGGTAACTCTATGTTACAAATTGGCAACATTTGTGGCCCCAGATGGCACGTACATATTGTTCTACCATCTATCCGCATCTCATGTGAAAACACTGTAAGAACATTCTGAAGGTCAGTCGGTAACAACGGTAACTCCTATCCCACTTTACACTACCATTAAGAGCCATACCATACAAAAATTAATTTTACAAATCTAAGGACGACTGTCTTTATCATTTCGTATTGCCGGTCTGAAGCATGATGCCTCAGATATTAGAATGTGATGATAGAATTAAAAACTTTCTGGAAAATTGTAAAAATAGAAACAGGTAAATGTTCTGCAGTTGAAGAAGGCCCATCAATAATGGTAAATGATATTATAAACAATCCTAAATATGTAGTAAACTCCTTATATACTTTGTAACAACTGCAGAAAGATTGAACAATACTAACAAATTTACAAAGAAGCAATAAAGTCTGAAACAATTTATAGAACCTCCTTTTTTTCTATAAGTTTTCTCATTAATGAATTATTATCAAAGTATCCTTCCCAATGGCTTAAATATTCAAAAGTTAATCCTCTGTATAAGAAGAATGAAGAATCTTGCATCTCTGACTGCAGGCCAGCATTTTCAAAGTAAAAGTAAAAAAAAGAGTAACAGTATCCTTGCAAAAGAACAGTTGGGGTTTAGAAAAGTTATCTCAGCTGATAAAGCATTGCAGAAATTCTTAGATGAAACATTGTATTTTTAATGTTAAAATGAATGGTTTTCGGATATTTTGTGACCTTGCTAAAGCATTGACATCATGACATATTACTATAAAAAATAAACTACATGGAATTCAAGGCAAAGGTGGACAGTGGTTTAAATTCAAGAAGTACTGTAACTCATTTTGTTATAGTTGGAGGTTATATTTAATATTTATTTTAAAAGTGGATGAAATATGAAGTCCATTGAATGCAAATGTTGAGTTTGCATGTAAAAGGTGGTGAATACTATTAACTTAAGTATACAGAATGCAACAACTCTTCTAGTAATGCGTGAAGTTGTGGACATACAAGTCATGTTGGTAAGAAGTGGTCTGCTTATTATTTTAATTAGTAGGTAAATACACTTGAATTACATTCATTCAAACTATATGCTGGGTGTTGGTGTTGGAGGGAACCTATAAACAGGACAGTAGTGTGATGTGTGTCCTATAGGGAAGTGAATAAGAGTAAACATTTAAGAAACCATACTTTAAAATATTCAAACTTTTAATTACACCCACATAACAGTCATGCTATGCCAACAAGTAGACCCAACAAATGACCCATTCAGCAGAGATAGCATTCTATACAAAGGAAAATATCAAATGTAACGTCATAATCTGGCACCTACATTGGTTAAGAACAACAATGCAACAATTTTTTTTTCTCAAAACTTGGGAACAATCTCTTATTGGTTCACATCCTAGAAAACAAAACTCAAAATCATGAAATGTAACTTAGAATTATTCCTCATACTGGAGAGCAGTAAAGAAATTATGTTTCCCCAAAGGTCAAGTCTAGGGCCTTTACTTCTCATAATGCACAGAGATCACTCTTGGGACTTACAGTTTGTGGTCGCTATATGTAAGTCGAGCAGCTGGGCAGAAAATTATTCCTATAAGTCAATAATTTATGTAGAATTTTATGCAATTCTAGATTTGTAGTAAGTGAATTATCAAGTAACTAGTTGGAAGAAATATGCATTTTTTAAATTCAAGGAAAGTATTTGAAAAACTACTACAGTACTTACTTGAGCAACTTTACATTTCTTTAACATCTTCCTGTTACACAGACTCCTCCGAACAAATGAACATAATGTTTGTTGAGCAGTGTTTAACATTTCGTTTTTGTTTTTCATGGCAAATAAACACATGAAAATCTTATATACTGCTTAATGTACCTTGTTCAGAATCAACACTGGTGTCATTTCATTCCTGATCTTTGTCACTGTCTTTGTCTTGTGTGTGTTTGTCACTCAGTTCATTGAACATGTCTGTTATTACATCCTCGTCTTTGATGATAATGAATATCAAAATATCCTTGTCTGTCTCAATAATTTTGGTTGAAGTGACCCTGCAACTTGATAATGATTCTAACAAAGTCAGTTTTGAGTCACAACAGATCTTCAGCCACGTTTTCTTGTGGGTATGAAGTTAATAAAAGATTCTATAGTGCCTCAAAATTTGTTATAATGCCCTGATGAAGTAGCTGCAAAATTGAAGTGGTTTGGCAGAAGTAATTTTCTTAATATAGCAACAAACATTTTCTGCGGAAATTGACTACTGCTAATTTACTGCAGTGAAAAAGTCTATATTATTTATGTAACTACACAGAACTTCCTTGAGCAAGAAGGGCCAATCAGTACATAAAGCAACATTTTGGAGAAATATACAGGCATCTTCAGGTCTAAAGGTGATTTATGATTCTAGTCCTTATGCCATTACAAATCGGAAGACCAGCATCGACACCTTCACCACCGTGGGTACCTCAGAGGTTATTTTTTTACCCTTAAATGCACAAACAAATTTATGAAAGTTGTAGGTAACGTAGGGGATAATAGCAAGCATAACATTTTATCAAACCAAATGAAACTGCAGGTGAAGAAATATATATGAATTATGGTGGTGCGGCCTCTGAAACGTTGGTAAACTTCTACCAGACTTCACAGCGCAGCAACCCAGAAGACAACCTTCTTCAGACAGACGTATTCTTTTGATGTGCGGAACTTGACAAAGGCGGAGTGCGAAGTGAATTAAGGGGAAGACATTGGCAAAGGTGTTGTGAAGTTTTAGTAAGAACTCTGTACAGTGAATGTTCTGAAAGACAGAAGAGAACATCTGTATCCTGATAATCAGGGCTGATTTTTGAAGCAACAGACATTAACACAGGAAATAGCCAACTGTATTAATGTGAAAGAAGTCCATCTTGTTTTTTTAAAAAAAGGGACTTCTTGTGTAATCGCCGATTTCATCGGTATCAACTATTGAAGGATTTATTGATGCAGGGACATCCCCAAAATGAAACAATACTGTAAATGCAATAAAAACTGGCACAAGTTGTGTGAAAAAGTGACTTATAGAACTATAACTGTGTGATCAACACAACAATAAAAGCTTGTGACCAAAAGTCACATGTCCTGCATACCTAGAACTAGGAACATACATCATTTAGGGGATAAAATATCTGAACAGTATTATCACTTTTTACACACAACCCTTACAAGACAAAATGTGTGTGGCAGACTTTAGATTTTCATTCATTTCATTTATTAATTTTGAAAATGATAAATATACACTACTTACATACAATACAAGATAAATATGATTAAAAAATGACACTTGGAAATGCTTCTTCTGGTGAAACTAGTGTTGGAACAGTTCTGTTTTGTCTGTTATGTTTCTGAAGTTGATTGCACATTGCTTATTTATCTGGGCCTTCAACTCCGGCCTGTGTCATGAGGTCAGCAATATTCTTCTCCAGGTCATCTATTCTATTTCCCATTTCATCTAGTGATGCTCATTAAGGAACTTACTTAAAAACATGTTACACAATGCATCATTCACAGTTTTAGTTTTGCAGAAGTGATAAACTGCCACCAAATCACAAAAAATCAAAATCATACATTTGCAAGAGTTGACTTTCTGGATTTTCATATTTAAAGTATAATATTCAGACCTAAATATACCAACAAAATCTTCATTTAAAATATAAACCATAAATTATAGTAGTTGAAAACTAAGAAGGGTCAGGGATTTAAACAAAAATGGGATGAATAGAAAGATGGAAAATAAAGAGACACCTTTCTTACCTTTTCATCCACTGTACCTTAGTTTCTGAAATAAGGCTTTAGAATTTTTCCATTTGGTATTACCCAGATACTGTGCAAATCACTCCCCTCCCTCACCTATAACAATGTCAAAACTTTGTATACATGGGAAACACCAGGCCCCAACATGATTTACAACTCAGACCCCTCTGCCAAATGTCACAGTCAAATACCAAAATACAACAAATAAAATAGACAAAAGGTTTCTGCCATGTGCGCCAAATACTTTAATGGTTATTGGGTACGTCAGTGGCATATAAATTTCAATTCAAATTCACACTATAAATGTGTGGACAAAAAAGGATATTTCTTGTAATGATCTGATCTGACATCGTTTGAAACTTGTCCTGCATACCTTGGAGCAGTGACTGAACCTAAAATAAAATAAACAATGCAGTAATTACAGTATACAGAATTAAATAAGTTTAATATTTCACATATATTTTACTCATATCTTAAAATACTTGTAACAATATCAGTACAGTTATATCCTTACATGCATAAAGCAAGTTCAAATGAGACTGAACAATCCTGTTACCCTGTATTTTGAACTGGACTGACCTATAGAAAATTGTAAAATTAACAGAACCCTCTGAGAAGATTTTGGATCAAAATGCCTTGTGCATTATGTTTACCTAGATGTAGGTGGGAGGATAATATTAAAATAGATCTTTGAGAAATAGGATGGGGTGGTATGAACTGGATTCAGTGGCGGGCTCTTGTGAACACAGTATTTAACCTTCGGGTTCCATAAAATGTTGGGAATTTCTTGAGTGGCTTGGCGACTGTTTGATTCTCAGGAAGGCTTCGACTCCATGAAGTATGTAAGTTGCATTATGTTTGATGGAATCTTGAACTGTTCATGTAATTTTATAACAGTGCCGTGTGAACATTTTTAAGATTTCGGTTTGTTTATATAGTTTCGATTTGGTATTACATAACAGGTTTAGTTACTTACGTGTTGTGTTAACTCCTGCATATTCTTGGGATCACTTGTGGAATAATTTTGCTGATCATCAACCGACTTCAACTCCTGTTTCATGTCTGCCATAGTTGCTTCCCTTACCCTACGACTGTTGATCAACGGTTTCCAGTGGTAACCACGGAGATCCGTAGTAACCTGTGACCTTTCCTGTTGTAAAAATGTAACTATCGCTGATTAGGTATTTTGTACAAGTGACACGAAACTTCATTGCAGGATGCGTGACAACTTGCTACATATACACTATGCGCAAGGCACTATTGATGTGAAACGCTGTATCGAATTTTTAAGTGAATACGGTTGCACTAACATGTTATAGATTTGCGTTCAATGACACTTTAAAACTTACAAACAAAGGTCAAAGGTTTGTCATGGGCTCATATGACATGCCGCTGCTTCTTACCCTGTTTGCTCTCGAAATTCTTCAAATACACTCCACGTGAGATGACGCGTGATCCAGATAATATGGTCATAATATGTGGATGTCATTGGTCCGCTCAGAACAGATGTTTGTCATTTGATGAAAGCCGCCAATTGGAAATTGCATTTGTGAAATTACACATGTCCTTCATTTGTTAACGGGAATAAAAGTCATTTTCAGAATATCAGTGATGTCGAGAGTGCCGAAATCTGAAGTATAAAAGTGTGGTGTAATTGCGACATGGAAGTCAAAGGTTATTGAACACGTGAGGTTGAAAGTCTTTGTTTGAGTACTATAATTAGTAAACAAGGAAGGCTGGAGATATCTGTTCTCTTGGGAAGTGAAACTTCGCTGTAGTTATACGATTGTCATAACCATGAGCTCACGGTTTGCAAACTATTTGAGTATATTATTACTTAGTTTGTCAGTAAGCATGTCATCAGCCTTTTTCGTAGTGAAAAGGCAAGAAATAACTCCAGTCATTTTAGGTAAGATGTGAAAGCTTTGAAAGGAATTGTATTTTCATATTGCTATGCTTCAACGAAAGCCACTGCTGGATACTTGTTTACAGTACAGTGACCAGATGTGTAAAGTTACAAAGGTTAGGGGTAGTAACCTTAAATGAAACTCAAAGGGGCCTCATAAGTTGGATAGTTTGTAACTAAGTAAATATAAATAAACCTCAAATATATTCTTTATGAATATAACATATAATTGCATGTGTCCCATTATTAGTAACAGGATATTTCCTGCTATCAGTCAACTAATATGTGTTACAGTCATTGTAGCACAGAAATATATTCTAATTCTTAAATTGTATGTAAAATAGAGGGGGCAGGTGAAGATGGCTGTCTTCTGGGTTGTTACGCCATTTAGTGAGAAGTGTATGGATGTTTCATAGGTGCTTACTGATTCCATTATCACTTTGAATGGTAGGTGTGAAACCACACTTCTTTTGCCACTCTTCGTATATGCCCATAAATGACTATATTATTTATTCATTCAGATTTTTATGTTACAGTTCCTGGAGATGGTGGCAGTCAGGTTGAGGCAAAACTTCACAAGGATAGAGTTGTTCATTATTTATGTGAGAAAACAACACAAGACTTCTTTAATATATGGCTCAATATGGAATTACTTGTTCCATTAGTCATAGACTGCTGGGTAAGTAAACAGTCACATTCCTGGGTGATTAAAGATACGTGCATGTTTGGAGGTACCTTCTGACAACATTAAATAATGGAATGTGCATCACGCAGAAGCACATAATGCTGATGCTGCTGTGCATGGAGATACAAACACTTACATTTGGATATATGAACCCTAATCATGCACATTCCATGTTGGGTGGGTCCCAGTCTCAACGGCATGTCATGTCCTCAGTTTACGGATTGAGGAACAACCTCCAGTTAAGGAGGTTCGCTGCAAATACATTGACTAAGTAGTCATGGACAGCCGATAAAGGATGGTCGTACAACTTGGGGGTTGGACATAGGGCTAACAACCCTTCACTGTAAAAATATTGTATGTTGCAAAAGCTACAGCAGATTCTTGGAATAGGATGGATTGTATGGATTCATGACCCAGGTGATGTTTCAAAGCACCTGAGAATTGGAACTTGGAATGTGAGGAGCTTATATAGAACAGGGGCATGGGATACATTAGCTGTGGAGATAGGGAGTATAGTTTGTATATTTCAGGAATACAGGAGGTTACTATAGTACAGTATTGTAAATTATAGTCATGGGGTAATTTGTAAAATGTAATCCTATTCTTTACAGATTGACAACATGAGACTTGTGTATGACAATGTCACAAGAATGTCATCCAATTCAAAAGGTGTTGAGATCAGAATTCCAGGCTTTGGGAATACTACATCTGTTGAATGGCTTGATCCAAGTGAAGCATCTCCTGGAGCATATTTTAAAGACATTGCTAATGCTCTGGTTGCATTGGGTTATGAACGTAATGTCTCGCTTCGAGGTGCTCCATATGATTTTCGGAAAGCCCCAAGTAAGTCACTTGTAGCTACATTAAAGAAATAAATAAGATAAAAATTGTCTTCAGCTAGAATTGGTGAAAGCTTTGCTTCCAGATATTTGTTATTCAGGAACCTTTGTCGGGTAAATATGCCCATCGTTCTAGCAGCCATCATGTGATTTCCTATGCCTGCCTTTGGTTTAGAAATTACTGTTATGAAGTGAGATTGAAAAATAGTGTTTTATTTGGATGTTTTCTGTGTATGAAAGGTTTCCTTTGAGTAATTTACATCAGAAATAAGATTCAAGTTATTTTATGAAATTTTGTATACCTTTTAAAAAAAATCCTGCTATAACCTTAGATTTTGCGGAATCCACATTTTTCTTTTCTTCAAAATGCAGTAAGAATTCCATTCTCATGCAGGATTCGGTTCTTCCACTGACCATCTCTGTAACCTAAGGGAAGAGAGATCTTTAGAAAACTTTTTTATTGAAAATATTTTGTAATGGCTGGTAAGTCCATAATTAATACAAATTTATGCCCAAACAAAAACTTGTGGTATTTTTAACGCCAAAAATCAAGGCAATTCACTCCCTGTCTAGGTATCTGTAGTTTCTGTCACTGTCGGATAGCGTCGATAATGTTAAAGATCTCGGGGATTCTACCCATGAATGATGCGACTCAACACTACCTCCCCCTCCTCCACACCCCATAGTGTGAACTGTCACAATTGAGTACAAGTGCAAGGCTGGGATTAATTGAGACCAAGAAGGATATTTCTGAAACCGCTGTCTTACTACTTTCAAAGTCCTCCAGACATTCATTTCTCTATTCACATACAGCATTTTCTTTCAATGAGTCATAGGAGATGCAACAAATCTGATGCCATCACACTGAACTCATAGGAGTTAAGAAACCCGAAAACATAATGGCCGGAGAAAGCCTGAAATGTTCTATGTTGCATTTGATAGCTTTCATTTGAACCAGGCTCCAACTTGAACATTGTCTGTGCTACCATTTTCGGGTCAGGCCAAGGCCTGAAGGCCAGGCCTGGTTCCGTGCAGATCTCTAGTGGCAATGACTGTGTTAGTGGCGTACTTTTGATCTTGTATTTATAATGCTTCTTCTTCTCCTTTATTAGATGGAAATGGCGAATATTTTGTAAGGTTGAAGGCACTTGTAGAAGAAACGTATGGAATAAATGATAACCAACGTGTAATAATACTTGCTCACAGCATGGGTGGCCCCATGAGTTTACATTTCTTACACAGCCAGTCAAAGAGCTGGAAGGACAAATATATTCGTGCACTTGTTACGTTGTCTGGTGCATGGGGAGGATCAGTGAAGGCATTGAAGGTTTTTGCAGTGGGTAAGTTGGTTGATAAACTAATGTGTTAAATTTATATTTTTTATGAGTGAAGGTCATCTTTTATATCATTTTATATCCTATAACTGCTAAGAAAGCATATAATATTTGCACTCATATGCAAATCTAGTTGATGCTCCGACAGATTACCAACATTACCGTCGACTGACATAACCCAATATTAACAGGGAGAGTCTAGTAAGAATACAGTAATCTGTTGAGCAACAAAGTTTCTCTGATGCTGTCATAAATTTATGAATCACAATTCATGTCTGTCTGTAGATTCCTGTAGCTTTGATCATGCTGGTAGTACTTACTCCATGGAGCCGAGTCCTTCATGAGAAGCTAACAGTTGCTCAGCCACTCAAAAAATTCCCAAAATTTTATAGAACCTGAAAATTAATTAATGTGTTCACAACAGCCTGTCACTGGTCCCTATCCTGAGCCAGATGAATCCAATCCACACCACCCATTTTATTTCTCTAAGATCCATTTAATATTTTCCTCCCACTTTTGTCTATGGCTTCCCAGTGGTCTTCTCCCTTCTGGTTTGCTCACCGAAACCCTGCATACATTCCACTTCCCTCCCATGTGGGCTGCGTGCCCCACCCATCTCATCCTTGACTTGAACAGTCTAATTATATCTGGCGAGAAGTAAAACTTATGAAGCTCCTTATTGTGCATCGTTCTCCAGCCTCCTTGTATTTAATTCCTCTTTGGACCTAATATTATCCTCAGCACCTGCTCTCAAACACCCTCAGTCTACTACATTCCTCCCTTAGTGTCAGAGACCAAGTTTAACACTCATACAAAACTACATGCAAAATTATAGTTTTGTATATTTTAATATTTACGTTTTTAGACACCAGACGATAAGATGACAAGGTCCTGAACTGAATAGTATCTGTTATATGTTATCAATTCTTCTGTTTCCCAAAATTGCTGTATAGTTTCATGTCAAGAGGGTCACTGTGCTTGTATTCTTGCAAGAAACTGATGGGATTCTACTGTACAGTGTCTAGCCAAATAGGGCATTGCCAACTACAGGATAACTTTTCTATGTTCTCTTCTCACATGTCATACTGTCATAGAAGTACATCTCTTCTGCCTGGTTGGTTGAATTTACGATCAGCAAGTTGAATATCACTTGGAATGTTCCACTGTGAGTGGTATATGTATGCAGAAGGTAACTTACAGGCGATTATAGGTAATATTGCGCAGGTGACATTCATGCAGAAGTCATTGTGAACTTGGATTGGATATCAACCCTGCATATGTGCTTGACATTTGCTACTGACATGCTATTAATATCATCAATAAGATTTGATAAATTTCTGATCCCCTTTCAGTTTGATCCAGAAATGTCTGTATTCTAGTGATGGATACCCTAAAAGTATTTCTGAAGATTCTCAAATACTGCAGGTAGGCATGTAGTGGCTCTGTGATTCGCTTTGCTGTAAGCCACACAGAAGTGTCATACGTTGCCTTTTGAATGTTGCTTGCAGTATGTGACGCTGCTGCTGCTGATTTGTTTTCCATTGAAAACTGAATGTCTTCCACTGAATGCTGCATAGTAATGTTCACTGCACTTGTTCACCTATACTATAATGTTCAGTTCTTTTATAATTGCAATTCTTGAATTTCTGGTAGCTAGTGTTTCCCACATTTAGCCTGGAGGACCAGATTTTATGTCGGTCCACAGGTGTTAAGCCTTGAATTTTAAATACAGTACTTGGCCTCGGAGGACCATTCTGCTAGGTGCAGTGGGAGGGTGCTTGATATGAAGCAAAAGAATTTATCTGCCATAGATTACATCAGTATTAACTTCACCAACCCTAATGTATGTATTGAGTGAAAATTCTTGTATCACTGATTGAAGATGCACATAATTAGTTTAAATATTATGTACTGTAACTCCATTGATTATTGCAATGTGGCAGCGTGAAAACAAACATGCTTAATATGTCAAAGATGGCCATGTTCTGGGTTGCAGTGCCATGTGGTCTGGTAAAAGTTTACCAACATTTCAGAGGTCCTTGCTGCCTCCATCATCAGGGCAATGAGTAAGCCGCACATATGGAATTCGTGATATAGAAACCAGTCAGACCAGTGGGAGTAGGACTGGGTTCAGGTGAAGGCGTGCAAGCCAGTCAGATAGAGGGGGTGTGCCAGAGCATGTCCAGCAGGAGGGGGAGGGGCATGCAAAAGAGATAGGTCTGAGAAAGTGGCCCTTATAAGGAACTCTTGGGGTCAAGCAGACATAAGGGAGGTGGGGAACATGGTGAGGGGGACAAGGAATGAAGGAAATACGCTGATTGACTGGTTCCTATATCTCAAACAGATTCCATTCACGCAGTTTAATTATCAATCTAATGATGGAGGCAGGAAGGACCTCTGAAACATTGGTAAATTTCTACCAGACTACATGACACTACAACCCAGAAGACAGCCATCTTTGGACTCACTGCCTTGAAAACCTCAAATCCTGCCACTCCTTCTCTATCTAAACTCCTTCATAAAATTCGGTTGTTTTTTTTCCACCCTTTGAACAGATTCCGTTTATTGATTTATTACAACTCCCCTTTTATTTTCATGTAGACTTTTTTTCTTTTACATTGTGTGCAGCTATTTTAGTACACATCGCCTAGAATTTGTTACAGAATGAATCACTTCGATGTTTTATGCCATGTACACTTTGTAGAGTGAGATTTTTCTGACACAGTGGCAATGGAATTTTGAGATCTCTGTGCTAGGTATAACAACACACAACTGATTTGGAATATGTGATGAGATTGCAAGGGTATCATACAGTTTCATTAGATGATTGAAGATGATGATGTGACTTCAGTTGACCCATTAACTGAGTCTTGATGATATATGTGATTAAATAGTACATGCCATGGAAAAATTGTAATTAGATGACAATATTTTCAATTTTAAATTATCAGTTTAATGTTGCTATAACATATATTCTAGGACTGAAAGTAAACATCACATAAAGGATCTGTTTGATTCTTCTTATTTTCACTGGAGATATCTTTTGATATCAAAATGTTCCAGTGTCTGAGATGTCTGTGGCTGTATCAGATTGCCCTGTTATTTTAAGGCATCTTAAATGCTTCTTACATATTTTCTATCTGGAAATATGATAATAGGTCATATTTTTTATTTTGTGTTTGGAATACATTAACACAAATGAAGTTGCTGATATGTGTTTTGATGCAGAATATTTAATCATACTGCACAAATTGTTGTTTATGTAATCATAATGACTATTATCCAAAGTTATCCTGGGTATATTTTTACAAACACACGTGCATTCTGTCCCCCCCCCCCTTTTACTGCCTCAAACATATAAGTTAGAGAATGGCAAGAAATTGCCTTTAGGCATGAATGATGTTGCGTATCAAAAGTGAACAGAATGTTTGCACTGTTAACGCTTTTGTTTTCATGTGTGTTGTCCAAATTTTGTTGCAGGTGACAATTTGGGTTCTTATGTCCTGCGCGAGAGTATATTACGAGAGGAACAAATAACTTCACCAAGTTTAGCATGGCTAATGCCATCCAGTTTGTTTTGGAATCCTGATGAAATTTTAATACAAACGGATGAGAAGAACTATACAACAAAGGACTTTAAAGAATTCTTTGAGTAAGCGCATGTCCTTGTAGTGTCTTATACTAATGAACGTACCTGGTAAAATAAAATGTTTCAAACATGTGTACAGAATGTTACTGAATTCTAAAAGCCGTAAAACAGCATTTTCTTTGAATGGTGATGTATAGATACCTTGCAACTCATTGTAGGTATGCAGCATATAATTTGTTTTAGTTGTGATAATAGAAATTAATATGAAGATTTTCATCTTCTGGGTTGTTACGCTGTGAATATTCATCGCCCTGATGATAGAGGCAGTATGACTTCTGAAACGTTGGTTAACATCGACCAGACTACACGGCGCAACAACCCAGAAGACGAAAATCTTCATACTCACCGCTGTGAGAACCTCAAGTCTTACACAGAAATTAATATAATTTTATATTGTAATTTGATGTTTCTGTCTGATAATATTAGCAGTACAGAAAAGGGTTCATTTTCTTGAGTAGCCCATTTTGCCTTTAAATGCAAATTTGCAGTCATCATAGTGCCACAGTACTTCATATACTGAAGGCAATGTGAGCATAAATAAAGGTATGAACAAAAAACTGGTCATTACTATGATAAAACACCGAGCTTACTTTCCATTTACTAAATCTGTCATGTAAATCCCTTTGTTATTGACCTAACACTGGACATTTAATTCATAAAAGCAGTGACATATATTTTATTTTACACCACAGAAAAGATGTTGTTAAAAGGATGTATATGATGTATATGTTGTATGAGTCTAAGAATGAACTTGGGTGAACACAGTATTGCACCCTTAAGTTCCATGAAGGCAGGAATGTCTCATGAATGATTCTTTAGTATTGAGTTCAGAGACTAATTTGTAAGTTTGTTTATATTTGTGTGTGTTTCAGGGCCATTGACTATCCAGTAGGTTGGGAGATGCGGAAAGATGTGGAGAAATATTCAGTTGAGTTTCAAGCACCAGACGTAGAAGTGCATTGTTTACATGGCTTTGGTGTAGATACAATTAACAGGTAAAGAGAGTGGCATTCTGATAGCTCCTTTATAATTTTTGTGAGTGGAGTTTCAACGACTAGAGAATTATTTGAACACAATAACTCCAGTGGTGTAAATATATTCAATTTTTTTCTCTTTTGTTTCAAGAAAAGTTCATTTCTCTTTTTGGGGCAAATGCAAGTGACAAGTGCACTAGATACTGAGAGGTCTTTGCTGCATCATCAGGGCAGTTGCCCCTTTGATGAGTTCCAAATGTTTAGAAATTACTCATAATATTTCTAAAGATGTTTATCTTTTTTTAGTATAATGTGAATTTAGCATAGCATTTGTATACTTTATGCAAAATCTTTATATTATTTTGAATTGTATTTATGCATATGTTTTGTATTTTGTGACTTATCCTACATTCTGTTGCCATTGTGACTAAGGTTTGGGTCCATGGGATATATATTACTGTGAGAGTACTTGCGCATGTGCATGTATACTGTGATGAGAAATGCAAAAACTCAAGGGAAAAAAATGGACGGTGCCTTTTCCTTCTTCTTACTTTTCAGACTTGTTTACAAACCTGGGACCTTCCCAGACGGGTACCCTGGGTTCCTCTATGGTGACGGAGATGGCACTGTTAACAAACGTAGCTTAGAAGGATGTTTGAATTGGAAGCAGAAGGAGAAAGTTTATCATCAGACTTTCTCTAGTTTGGATCATACAGGCATACTCCATGATGAACGTGTTCTCAGCTACCTTCAGTCGATAGTAACAAATATGTAGTTTTACTATCATATATTTAATATTAATATTTTACATAATAGTCTGTCTGTCTCACAAACGAAAATGCCATGGGTATTATAACAACTCTTTACTCTTTAACGTTGGAGAAATTACAATTTGTCATCACATGCTTATATTTATTATGCTCTCTTATTTATTCAGATACAGCGTATGTATTTTTACTGTTCCTTTAATATGAAATTTACTGATCATTTAAGGTGTATGTCAGTGAGAGAAGGTGTGAATAAAATATTGCACTTGACATATGGATCTTCATGAAGTGAATTGATCTCATTATAAATATTTGAGATACTTGCCAGTATCATTGTTACAGGGTTTGTCAGAATCTCCACAAAGGTTATATTCAGCCTGTAAATTATAGGATATTCATCTCAGACATTTTCACAATAAGAGATTTACATGTTGAACAAAAGGTCCACACTACTTCTTCATGTATCTTAGGTGGCTGATGATCAGTACTTATTTTCTTTGCTGCTAACTATTGTGTCATTCTGAAATGACTCTCAAATTTCCACTTAAATTGCAGTATATGAAAAAAGTTAAACTGATTTCCAGTGTATGATGATCTTGTTATTCTTCTAGCATTGTCACTGTTTTATAATCATTGTTGGTTGAAAAGCATCTCTTCTGTCTCCTCCCAATCTTTCCTTTTTGATTTCTTGCCAGCTCATATATCTTCTTGTACCTGGCCAAGCCATCTTATCCTGGATCATCCCATGGGTATGCATAGTTTAAATTTTAATTCTCTTGCCATTCTTGGTGCTCAGTCATTTATTTCATTTCTAATGGTTTGTTTGTAAATTGTAACATTTGGTTTCTGTTAGGTCAGCTCAGGCAGTGGAATTAAAGCATTAATGCAGAAGATACAAATGAAAATTGTATTGATGTTTGTCTTTGTGTAGTCATATTGATTTTATCGAACATGTTTTGATTTTGATGGTGGAGGGGACCCCCAAAGATGTGTATTTTTTTTGCTCCCCCCTTCCCTCTTTACTTGTGTTCTTGTCAGGTCCAATTTTCCATTCTTCTTTGTCCTTTCCAGTCACTTGGTTCATATGTCATGTTCTCGGCCTCTTTCCTTTTTGTTTCATTTTCATCGCTCTTTTGGGCTGTGTTATATCTTCCTTCGCATTGTTAATTGTTTTATCTGAAGCACTGAAAATATCCCAATAATGATTATACAGCATTATCTACAAATTTTTGCAACCATATTGCCTCATACTGAATCACTTATGTTTATTCGTTTCTAAACTCTTATAATTTATCAGTTTTCTTATGTTTTGCATTCTACATTCCTAAATCTGTTCCGATTTTTCGAATCTTACTTCTTCAGAACATTATATTTGGGTGTCCTTCATGTCTCCTGCACTTAATCAGACCACTGTGATAACCTGTGAACTCATACAGACAGGATGCTGGGTGAGGGAACATGAATGTACATTTTACTACATGTACTTATGCCATAAATCACGCACTTCCCTCGATCATTTTAAAATAGCAAAGTAAAAGCTGGCACCCCTTGATTACAAGTCGGGAGTGTAGCAACTACACAAACCTGCTTACCCCAACTGAGCTGGTTTTCCTCCGTCTCTCCATAAAATTCCAAGATAATACCTTCAAATAGGCCATAGCCATCACCTTCCAAATCCTTACATACCATTTTGAAATCTTTTATGGTGCTGTATAACCTCTGAAGTTGAAGTAGTGCCATTACATAACCAGTCTATCACCAGGATACTTTATTTTAAGTCTCTTCTGTTGTAAACCAGTCATCACAGAAAACATTTGTTCTCTTATATTGTTTATTATTGCACTGTCAATATGATGATAAACATTTAATCTAATTCAGTCTTATTAAATTTCAAGACTTCATCACTGAGCTTCCTCTCTGTGAGCCTGACTTCATTTTCATTCCTCACGACTCATACTTAAAAATAAAATATGATAAATTCATTTGTCAAATCTGTGCCAATTTATGAGGAGAATGTTCGGACTTTTTATACAATTGTAATGGCATAATTTTTCCCCCGTTATTTGAAGTTTGTAGTGCATATAAGCATTCTTTGATGTGTGTAAAGCATATTGCATTTTATAACTGGAGTTTGGTCATGAAAAATGCGATAAACACTGAATTAGAGACAAGCTACACTCTATAACGCCATTTTATACCACATACCAGATAGTAAAGTCAAATTATCCAGGTTAATGATGGGGAGAAGATGCACAAATAACTGGAAAAAATTCGATAATCTAAAATATTTTGTTTAGTGCATTCACAGAACTTCACAAATTACTTTACTTTATGACAGCTCACATTTATTTTTAGGAACGGTTTGTGGTTTCTCTCTCTCTCTCTCTTTGTGTGTGTGTGTGTAAACTGTTTAGATTTATCCCAATGGTAGTATAAATTTCACTCTTATCCTCGCCACCTCTTCTTCATGCTTCTGTTTCACAGCACCATCGACAGTGTCTGCCCATCTTGTGTTATCATCATCTATGTTTTCAAAACTTATCATAGCACACCTTTAGCTCTGTAAGAACTTTCCTCCATGATTGAACCTCAGCATTATTGGATTCATGGAAGCACCATTCCTCAGGTGAGCCATACATAGTATCCAATGAGCGACATTTCGTCGATTCATTCATTCGATCCCAACGCCATAGCCTTTGACTAAATGTCACCAGTTTTCCATTCTCGAAGTTTTCAGTTACTCATTCTTTTGTCACTGTATTTTTATTGTTTTTTTCTGCAATTTTCGTAATGATCCACAAGCATTAACTGTCATTCTTGCCTGATGCACAGTGCAGTGTAACAGAACTGTCCGTGCGACATTAATATATAAGAAAAACCGAGTGCACCTGAAGCAACCCCCCACCCCACCGCAGAACTGGGAAGTATGGCACAGGAAGGTGTAGAGAGCATACTTCTCTGTGGTTGTGTAAAGGGGGAAAAAACTTGTGTACATTTGTAATTAGAATTTTAATATATATGATAAATGTGAACATCTACATACATGAAGGCAGCAGTTTTAAGATTGTCTTAGGTATAGACATTTTAAATAGTATCAGTTTTACTTAGCTGCAGTGTGATTATTTCTAGTCTATGCTGGTTAACTGTTTGTCATGATTTTATTGTTACTTATGGTTCCAGTTGTAGCATTATATCAAAACTTGTAATAATTAACAGTAATATTATACATAATTGTACCATGATAGTGATTTGTCTCAGGATCTCTCTTATGTAATATCTATAAGATGCTGTACCATGTGTATTTAAAGCGTCATGATTTTATTCTATTCATATGCATGTTTATGAAGTTTGTTTTGTGGCTAATATACACTGTGAGTAGACCTGTGTTTCATTACTTCTTTTTCTACACATTACTTGACAGACGTGTATAAAGCGCATTTGTAGCGTCCTTTTTTCATTGTTCCTACTATGGCTGACTGGTTTTGTGTTATATATGTTTTTAGTTGAGAACTGCTGTGAATGATGCTGCCTTCTGTTGGAATATTTTGATTTTCATATTTGAAATGCAATGTTCTCTAGATGATGTATCAGTATTCCACTTCCACACATAAGAGAGAGATTTGTGGAGCAAGATTCCAGTTATGGTCTTCGCGAAGTTCTTGGGCTCTGTCTGCCCAGTGAATTGAAGGTGGGACAACAGACAGGCTCGTACAGTTCAGAAGAGCCTGTGACCTATGAAAATGATATGGCCAAACACAGCAGATGGCAGGTATCTTGTGCACATAGTTATAACTAATTGAGGTGAGACATGATATCTAGGCTTAAACATACCATTAATTAATCCAAATGTTGTCATTCTGCATTTTTGAATTTTGGAAAATGTTTCTGTTCTATTCTGTCCCTTCTATTTTGATATGATGCATGTTTTTAGGTTCGGTCTAATTAAACTAGACTAAGTTACACGGAATGAAAACATATTCTGTGGTATATAACCTGAATGTTTTATATGAATCATACAGTAACAGGTCCATTTGTAACAACTCTATAAAAAAATTAGGGTATTCATCTCTCTATATCACGGACCTGCTGACGCTCTGTTCCTACAAATGTTTTGTAACCTAGGCACAAAATGCAATGTATCAATGCATACAGGCAGGCCCTCATACAATCAGAATCCCTCTCTTTTTAAATAAAATAACACAATGTTCATTGATATCATTTGCTATGAAAAGAACTGAATAGTAACTACTTTCTCGAAGTACAATTTATGAATGCCTTCAATTTTATATTTTTCATTCTTAACAATTATAAACTGAGGTAAGGCAAAGTGAAATTGCATTAAAAACATAATATTAGAATCATTTTATTATCCTTCATATTTTCATATGCACATATATAAAACAAGTTTGTACAATTATAATAGTAGCCACTTCATTCATTGGGACAGGAAATACTTTTTCTCACAGTGAAATGAAAAGGTACATACAGATGGCTAATTTCATAAAATAGAAATCATATATCTGAGCTAAACAGAATGATACCCTGTAAACAGTATATTTAATATGTTGCCAGCGGTTGTTTATAAGTCAAAATATCCCAATAGTGCGAACTGATAACCAGTTTTGAGGCTTACAGTTTATCTGAACAATTAAGTTTCTCACATAATAAGCACCTAACATTAAAAGAATGTGTCATATAAGTTTGGAACATAGTTAGTTATCACAATTGCATGGACTGCCCATTACTTAAATCCCAGTATGTTTTCTTTATTATTTCATTTCCAGCTTAATTTTTTGTATTTGTATAATTTAACCCCCACCCCCATTATTTCATCACTCGTATGTTTTTCTTTAATTTTTTTTAACCATTTCTAATACATCTTATTACTATTATTTCACTCCCAGTATGGCTTTCCCATTACTTCGATCCTGGTATATTTCAGTTCATCCGCTCTTGGTTTTAAGTCTATCCATTGCCGTGATACTAAAACATGACATTTCACATAACCACATCCACACGCAACAATTTATATGGATATGAAAGCTCACAGATAACAATAAATAACATCAGTTTTCCAATATAAACATTTAGCATTAAACATCCCACCAGGAAGTGCAGTACAAACATTATTCTATGAATCTTAACTTGTTGCATTTACCACACAGGATACCTAAGCAATACATATTGTCAACGGCTTCACGGTCAGCACTCTTTTCATTAGCAGTCTCCCATCTTATTTTAAAGTCATCACTTATTACACAACTTAAAGCCTGGTTGCGACAAGTCCGATTCTGATCATTTAAGCCAGTACTGGGGTCAAAACCCACGAAGACCATTGTACACTTTATTGCTTGAGTGTTGCTTCAAGATATCTGTTAAAGCTGAAAAAAAATAAAAATGATTAATTCCTTACAGTACAAAGCAATGTAGAAGGCGACTATAGAAAAATAATATATCATTTTGAAGAGCAAACTCTAAACTTTATATATGTTTTTGTTTCATTCAAAAATTGAATCCAATTCATGTTTTATTAAAGATGATATATGAGGATGAGTCAGAAGTTTCCACAATTTTCTATTAAATAATACAATGACGATGCATATGTACAACAGCGTCATTTTTCAACATGTCTTCAGAAAAAAATGTTTTTGGATGAGTGACACGCCATGCTTGTACTACTTCTTTCAGTTCTTGGTCCATAGTGATAATGCAGCCTCTCATAACATCTTTCAGTGGACCAAACAGGTGATATAAGTAGCCAGATCAGGACTATATGGAGGATGCTTGAACACCTCAAAGTTCAGTTGGTGGAGGCTTTCAATGGTGTGGGTGTCAGTGTGTGGACAGGAATTATTGTGCAAAATTGGGACGCCTTTCGACAATAGCCCTTGGCATTTAGTTCAAATAGCTGGTTTCGATTGATCCTGAAACATTTCACTATAACAGACAGTGTTTACTGATATGTCCCTCTCTAGGTAATGTTACAAAACTGGCCTCTGTGCACCCTGAAGAAGTGTCAACAACACTTTTCCTTCCGATGGTTGAGTTTTGAACTTATGACTGGTGGTTGGATGTTTCCATTCCACGCTCTGGCGTCTGCTTTCTGGGACGTAATGGATCCACGTCTTGTCACCAGTTTGTCAAAAAAAAATGTCGCCTTCGTTATGATAG